TTGAAAAAAACAACAACAAAAAACATTATTTTTCATTGTTTACTTTGTTATTTTGCTTCGTTTAATGATGAATTTATATGTTGACTACATATACACACATTTTCTAAACCGCTTATCCTTCTGGGTTGCAGTGGGGTGCTGGAGCCTATCCCAGCAGTCATTGGGCGGAAAGCAGGATACACCCTGGACAGGTCGCCAGTCCATCGCAGGGCAGACGTTAACTAAGGTATTTTAAATTATATTACTATAATTTAATTAAAATGATAATTTAATAACTATTTGAAGTTAATTGATACTGTCTTAGTATTCCTTCCTGTAGTATTAATACAGTCTATTTTGAAATGGCAGTTGAGATCAGCTAAAATGCAAAGTTCTAGTTTTTACTGCGCCGTAGCTGAAGTAGTTTGCATAAATTTCACTGGCACCCAAAGTGCATGACAATCATTCTGCATGCCTCATAAATTCATAAGAGCCCTCACCATATGCTGATGGCTAGTTTTCTAAATTTATGTTAATACGCGACCACACGTTTGATATATGTTGCATATCATGAGAGGCAAAACTGTTGGAACAATGAGGTGAAATAAGTTATTTTTGTTAGATATCCATAAACTTTGTACTCCAAATCAAAAGATGAGTATGAGACTAAAGCACAAAATGCCAACTTTTATTTTTGGGCAGTGTTTTCTATACAACATAAACCTTACAGAAAGAATGTTATGTGTTGTGTCTCTTTCAGTTTCAGCATATGTATGAGCATAAGTATTGGGACAAGTACAGTAAAGCAAATTAGGTTATTTAAAGTTAGAATTTGGCTTCAAACCCTGTACATGCAATACCTGCCTTGGACTGAGTGACATCACCACACAACTGAGAACTTCATTCAGAATGTTCTGCCAAGAAGGAATGAAAGATTTTTTTTAATCAAAATCACAATTTGAAAGAGGCATTTCCAACTCATATGTAAATATGTTTATGTTTACAGTTTACTCATATGTAAATATGTAAAAATCACACACTAATAGCACTAATAAACAGAGTTTGTGAACTGCCTGAAGTATAGTTGGACCAATCAGAAACAACTAAATACCCATGTATGGGTACATGACAGCACAACATCTAACTGGCACACTGTGATCAGAGTTCAAACCTCAAAGCCAGAATGTATGTGCGCATATATTTTGCCCTACTGCCGAGCCTTTAGTTCAGCCTCTTTTAGTCTGTCTTTGTTTCTGGGGCCCTCTGACTTCGGTTTCCTCTTCAGTAGGTGACATGCATGCTCAGTGGGGTAAATTCAAACACTGACATAGCCTGTCTATAACTTCCCAGCTTATCTTTCTGATAAACTCCTTGGTTATGTGTACAGTATGCTTTAAGTCACTGATTGCTGCTTTATGAACTTCTGCCCACTGAGTTCTGAGGCATTTGCTTGGACATGAAAAGACAAGATGTTTTTGTACACTTCAGAAATAATTCTGCTGCTGCCATCACCAGTAGGCCTGTCACAATCATTTCATAATCACATAAACGCAATTATTTGAGATGATCACAATTACTTAAGTTAATTGCAGGCATCTTCCACAGTCGTTAAAATTTCATAGTCACATTATGCTGCAACAAACAAAATGTAAATTGAATGTGTGGGGTTGATGCAAATGAACAAAAAGTTCTAACTTCTAACCTAGTGCTCTGACATGTTTAGAGGGCAGCGCTGAGTAATGTGATGAGTAATAACAGTAATATGACAGTAAATCGTCAGCTGAAACTTCATGATCATGACAGCCCTAATCACCAAGACCAGTAAGACCAGTTCCAGAAGAAAACATGCTTCCCCAAACTATGACACTGCCTCCTTCATGCTTATCAGATGAAGCAGCGTGCTTAGGATCATTTGCAGCCGCTCTCTTTCTCCACACTTTTCTTTTTCACTCACTTTAATAAAGAGTAGTCTTTACCTCATCTTTGTACTTCAGGAATTCCTGGCCTGTCTGTTCTTGGTGTAGATGAGAGATTTGCATCTTGTAGTTTAGCTTCTGTATTCCTTCTCCTAAAGTCTTCTGCAAATTGTAATCTGCCCCCTGTGTTCTGTCGACTGTCTTTTTGTTTGTTTGTTTGTTTGGTTTGTTGGTTGGTTGGTTGTAATTTTGGGGTTTTTCTTCACAGCTCTAAAACTGTTTCTGTAATTAACTGCCGTGGTCTTTTGTGAACGGCCTGATCGTAACAAATTGCTTATGGGTTTTTCTTTTCTTTTTTGTCTCTTTTTCAAAAATAATGTTGTTTTCTGATGTTTGCTACATCTTAAAAACAGCTTTGTTTTCCAACGTAATGCATTCTCTAGTTTACATCTTTTTTCATCTTGTTGGAGACAGATTTCGTTTTGCACATTAAAAAAAACAACAACTTTTTCTCAAGCAGTTTCTTTTACTTCTACTGAAGTCTCACTAAAGTACTAGCAGGCCACTTATACTTGAGCATGTTTTTCAGTAGTCTGCTCTTTCTGGTGCTGAGTGTTGGCCAGAATAGCAAGTGGGGTCAGAGTGAGCAACAGATGTAATCCACTTTCGAATTCACTGAACTGGGACTGTGTATTTTTTTCTGTAAACACAGGCAAATCTTATTAAAGATGGACAAGATATGGCAAAATAAAAAAAAGTGGTGATGTGGTGCATATTTTCATTTCGCATCCCAGTTTCAGTTCCCAGTTTGTTGGCCCAAAGCCTCCATGAGCTGGGACCTCTTGGCAGGGACATGCCTTCCTCATTATAGACAATAACTGTAGAATCCAAACCCAGTGGCATGGTGATATTTCCATGTGAGTGGGCTAAACCACTCTGTAATTCATTGAATAGTCCAGGGCCAAGTCTTATCTCTTGTGGAAAATCAACTGATATACGGTTTTCTGTGTAATCTCACAAAGAACAAACAGTCTGAGAATGTATGGAAACCATGAAAGTTTGACTTTGAAGTTTCACTTTCAAATTACCATTAAACCACAAAGTCACAGTATAACTTCAAAACGCTGCAGATTTATTCATTATAATATTAGTACTATCCATTTGCAGACTATAATATGATGTCAAGATCGAGAGTTGCCTTGCTTGTTTTTATGTTTCTTTTCCCTGAATATTACACACCCTTGTGAACAAGGCAAATCATTGTTATAACTGAACTGGAATCTCATCTACATTACTACATAAGAGACAATAACTGAGGTCAGTCCTCTAAAGTGTTTTTTATTGCTAGATAAGCATTTCTGCCAAATACAGTACCTTTCACAAACAGTAGTATAATACACAATTCACAATTTGTATATCTACACATACCTTTGTGTTTATTTGATCCAGTACCTATATTCAGATGCACGTATGAATGTACATTTTTTCCCAAAATATGATTTCCCAAAAATACCCAGAGGTAAATGGTAACCTTTTATCCATCATATTTAATCCAGCTTGTGAAAACAATGAAATATGACTGTGTCTCAACACTAGATGCAAGGTTTCTGTAACTAAAATGCTTATAGGATTGCTATAATATCGTCACACTGTACAAGACAGATTGCTTTTTTTATCCTTTGTTTATTGGTTGGATGCTGATGTGAATATTGAATTTAGCAGTTCTGTTTCAGTTTGTCGTACCAAAGACTCTTAAGCTGGAATGAACACCATGAGCTCGCTGTTACAATACAACGTGTGCATTTTTTTTATCTAATATTAATAGTGGACTCAAATAGAGAAGAGTTATCCGAACTTAGCTTTGATTGTGGTGATCAGACATTTGATTATAGAATCCAGAATTGCTGAAGGGATTGAGAGAGATATTAACCGAAAGTATCAGAAGTTGAATGTGTCAGTGAACCTGATAACCTTAGGTACATAAGTTGTCTTTGCAGAGGGATCACTGTAATTAACTGTCCTGTATTTTGGTCGTGGAGACTTTTCGCTCTCTTTTGTTTGTGGCACCTGACTGTGCTGACTATGCAGTGTCTTTGGACTGCATGAATTGCTTTCTGGTGTCCTTTCTTTCTCAACACTTTTAGAGTCGACGAGAGAGATGTCTCGCTCATTGTCATTACTGTCTTGATTCACTGAATCAAAGCAGACATTCTCTGCACATGGGTTTTTCCTAAGAGACATGTCTTGAGACAAGTAACTGTCATAACACTCAAGTGTTGTACTGTCTGATTGTTTGATCAGATGGACAGAAGCAGCAAAGGTCTTGGACTCTAGTTGTGGAAGACCTTCACTATCAGTGCCCATAGGTTTAGCTATTTCCGATGAAAGGTGGTTGCTGGAAATAATTTTCTGTTTCAGTGAATGTGATCCGTGGTCTCTTTGTAGGACCAGAGAAGCGGAAAGGTCTGCCTGTGGCTTCGCTGACACACCTTGGCCCTCCTCTAGTTTCAGTTCCACAGCATTCTGAACTTTATTATTTGCCTCATCTAGAGGACTCTTGTGACACTTTATGACGACTTCTTGCTGAGACTCAGCTGTGGAATGTTCATCTTTATATGGAGGTATAGGACTTTGGTGACAGTCAACATGCACATCTTGTTGAGGCCCTGTTGAATCGTGATCTTTATATGGACCAAACAGTGCACTAGTTTGAAGGCACTGCTGCTCCTTTGGACTTTCAGACTGTAGTAGTCTTTGTACAGGGCAGGGCATATCTGTCAATTTTCTGTGTAACTGTAGTGAAAGTTCCATGGTTAGAGGCCCTTTTGTCCTGTAATTGTTTTCCCAAGCTCTTTGAGGTTGTATGTGCAGGTGTTTGCCATTTTTCATATGGTTGGTCCAGACACGAGATTGATGCCAACCACTTGTTCTCGTCATGTGCCAAACCCTCCATTAGAGGTCTTGATGAGTAGGCCAATACCCAAACATCAGGGTGTAGTACAACAGTGGCTAAATACCTCTTCTGTGGGATCTCCATCACTAAAAGTCCATGGTGAAGCTCATATTCAGAGTTCTCCACCACAGCAGTGAAGGAAACTACCTCAACTCTTGCATACCTCAAATTCTGCTGCACTATCAGATCTTTTTTCTGTTGAGTCAGTGATTGGCCCAAAATGTCTACATCATTGTTCAACTGGCCTGAGGTATCTTCATGATTGTTCACCATGCCCAAGGTATCTACATCGTTGTTCAGCTGACCCGAGATATCTACATGATCATTTACCTGGTGACCCAGAGACTGGCCAGACATGTCTACAATATTGTTTAACTGGCCTGCAGTATCTACATGATTGTTCACCTGGTCCAAACTATCTATATCATTGTTCGGCTGGCCTAAGATATGTGCATCATCATTTACCTGGCCCAAAATATCTGTATCTTTGTTCACCTGGCAAGAGATGAATACATCATTGTTCACCTGGCCAGACATATCAACATCTTTTTTCACCTGGCCTGAGATCTCTACAGAGCTGTTTTTCTGGCCCAAAACAATGACATCATTGTTCACCTGGCTTGAGATTTCTACATCACTTTTCACCTGGCTGGAGATATCTAAATCATTGTTCACCTGGCTCAATATGCCTACATCATTGTTGAGTTTTTTAGAAGCAATAGCTTGTTCCTCTGAACTGCACTGTGTTCCTTCTACTGCTGGCAGAGTACCTTGGTGCTCCACAACATTATTGTTGTTCACCTTTGAGCTTGAATAATCATCTGTTTCTTGATTTAGAATGCACAGTTGTTTGTCAAGAATCCCTAAATCTTGAGCTTTCTTTTGTTTACACAGTACATCTGTACGTTTTTGCTTCTTGCTCTCAATTAAATCACTTCTACTTTGCACTTTTGCCAAGGCCTCGAACTTCTTCATGATACCAGACAAAAGGGGACCCTTGCTGATCTGTCTGAGTAGTCTCTGTGGCTCTTGCACATTCCTGGCCTCAAGCCCTCTCTCTTTCTGCTCGACTGCTGCAAACTTGGCGATCATGTCCTGCACCTTTGACCTCCCTCCCTTAACCACTCGCCCTATATCACCGGGTCTGTCCACTTCCTTGGTTCCTTGGAGCCCTTTTAAATTCAAAGAACCCACTTCCCTCCGATGGGTTACTGCTGGCTTTGGGGTGGCCATGAGAAACTTGGACTGCAAAAGCTGAAAAGTGGTAAGGCGTCGAGGAACAATATTCCCTGAAGATTTCTTGCGATTCCTACATACGCTGTCCCTTTTCATTGTCTTCTCCTGGCTCTGTCGACCCCAACTTGGGAGCTCTTGGGTGAAGTACTGCAGTAGAGTTTCCAGAATCTCTCTTACCACTGGATCGGTGGAACGATCCAAGACAAGCCGTTTAAGTGTCCTGACATTCACTGTTGTGTTGGTCTCTGTGGCAACAGCTCCTTGATGCCCCTCCCGCTCTGGTCTGCATGAAATAAAAGGGTCCTTCTTTGTACTCAGAATGGAGCAGCAGCATCCTCAATGGAGTGTTTGTAATAGTCACTCCTTTGTGTAATTAGATCTGAACTGTATCTTGTCAAGTGGCAAGGGCAGGAATGAGGATTCAGTGATGGTTATGCTGTAATTGGGGAATTGGGGTCACTGCTGTGAAGTTGCTTTGTGCGTTTGAGTTGAATAAGGGCTGGGGGGTTTATAGCAGGAACATAACAAGACTACAGCAGGTTTAGATATATTTGGGTATTGGGGGTTACTTAAGCCCCTTTCACACTGCACAATTTCAGACATAAGTTCCTTGTTGCAAGGAGAGCATAAGGTTCTTTCTGGGAATTGAGAGCTCATGGAATAGTAGAAATTCAAAATCACTGCATTATGCCAGTGCTGTAGAACACTGCAGGTAGTCATGTAGTGTGAAAGGAGTCACAGGTTAGGGCATTTGAATTTAACCCCTTAACTTCTAGCGTTATCATTCAGTTATTCATTTTAAGGTTTATTATCCTGTAAATTAAGTAAACACCAAATTATTCATGAACTACTATAAAACTCCTATGCAAGTTATGTAGTTATGAGATTGAGGAAAGTCTGTAGCTGCTGATGGGTGCAGAACTTAAGGAGTTAAATATAAAGTTTAGGAAAATTATTTTGCTGATAAAAGAAGTTGCTACAAATTATAGTGTCTTAAGATATTTTAATTAAGTTACATAATATACATGCACCAGAAAGTTTACTATAACTTGACAAGACAATCATGGACTTTCCAGTCAAACCACAGTAAGTTGCTTTGATGCCATCTGTAGGTGCCCAGATGTCAGTTGAGTCAAATTACAGGTTCTGCATCACTGAATTGTCCGTTTTCTTCTGTTCTTTTAGACACAGTCTCAGTTATTTGAATACTGAATCAAAACTCAATTAGTATTTTCTTAGCTTGTTACTATGCAGAGCTCAGGTTAAAAACCAAAAATACAGATTTGTTAGTGGACGAAGGATAGAGTTTCAGAGAGAGAAGGATGCTGGGTACAGGTAAGGGAGGGTGAGCAGCTTAAGAACCGTGTTCCAGTTTGAGCCAGAACGTGAGGGCAGTTACTTCTCTGAGTACTTTCTCTGCAGCTGCGGCCTGGTATAGTTTGGCTCCTAGCTCCTCCAGTTTCTCCCTCTTATCGAGGTCTTGGTACAGTCCAGCTGGCACCTGGCTCAGCCCATAGAGCAGCCCATACAGACAGCCAGCGATCAGACCTGTAGCACTGCTCTCTCCTGGAAAAGTGAGATCATGAACACAAATTTTGACCAAATAAATTGTCCATTCTAGAGACATTTACTGAATCAGATTTGTTTACAATCTGATTGGAACTAGATGTCATCCACAGTGCAAAGATAACGATTTTGTGTGTCCAAACAGCCAGTGGAACTTCTAAACACTAAAATATTGGAACATCTGTTTTCTTTGGGTTTTTTTTTTCCAGAGGCACGAGTATGCGGGACACACATATGACGCGTTTTTTGAAACAGGATGACTTGAGAAATTCAACAAAGTTGAAGTTGGCTTTAAATTTCCCATTCCAGCAGAATGTAACTCCTCTATTTGAGGTGGAACGGAAAAACCGAATAAAAGGCTGGCAAATAAGGCTTGCGAACTCCAGCCTTGTAGAAATGTAACATTTAGTACTATTTTTGCCAGGCTTATGGACTATTCTCAGTCCAGCAGTGACACTGAGGTGTTTAAAAACTCCAGCAGCACTGCTGTGTCTGATCCACTTGTACCAGCACAACACACACTAACACACCACCACCAAGTCAGTGTCACTGCAGTGCTGAAAATGATCCACCACCTGCTTTGTGGTGGTCCTATGAGGGTCCTGACCAAGAACAGGGTAAAAGGGGCTAACAAAGTATGCAGAGAAAAAGATGGACTACAGTATGTAATTGTAGACCTACAAAGAGCTGATATGATGGACAATAAGTATAGATACAAGGGGGTGTACTTAATGAAGTGGCTGGTCCATGTATGTGCATGTTGGTTTTGTTCGATGTTGATGCTTCACCTCCATGAAACATGGCCCGTTTACACAGCTCGCCCCAGTTCGAGCCTGCAGCCATCAGAGCATCATAGGCAATCATAGGAGCATCGTGGCCCCTTCGCCCACCTCGTCCTTCTGAGCTCCAGCGCTTATACACCTGAGCGACAAGCAGCATAATAAGGTTTTAGTTGCAAGCTGGTGCTGGACTTTACTGGTCTAAAAGATCACAGTTTTGATCATGAATAGTGGGTAGTGGGTAATGACTGATGAAATAAAATAACCTTATCAGTTTCCTCTGCATCATAGCTATTAGGAAAAAGGGGCTTGTTCTTGCCTTCCTCCTCTATGCCCCTCTCCTCCAAATAAAACTGCCACTTGGCCTCAAAGTAAAACCAGTGCTCCTGGTATTCTGAAGGGGAGAGAGAGATATGCGGCATTTACTCCCAGGTATCAAATACATACACTAAGCAGTTGTTGCAAGGTGGTACTTGACTACCTGGTTACACCTGTGTAGAGTATTAACCTATTACACACTAAATGAATTTGAAATAATTCTGATAATTTTCCAGTTCTACTAAAGCAAAACATTTAATGGAAAATATGAAAATATTCCTGTCATTTTTGTATCTTGAAATGCTGGAAAGCATTTTGCTTGTTCCTCATTAGCTGTTTCTTTGTGGTTTTGTGAATCTTGTATTTCTCAAAATTATCACCATATTTCATAAAATTTTAAGTGTATTGTACGTGATGTCATTACAAGTATTGTCAAGCATATATCATAGGCCTCACCTGCCATGTGGCGTATTGTTTTCCTGCAGTAATCTGCTGCCATCGGGATCACCTTCATGAAATCACGGCCCCAGTTCACCACCGGCTTGCCTTGTAAAGCATATGAAGCAAAGAGGGCAGTGCACAAAGAGCCTAGAAACCCTGCACACAAAACCACAGCTTTAGTTTTGCATACATTTAGAGTAATAGACTGGAGGTGGAACCTGAGTCAGAAGGATGATATGGTACCAAGAGGGTGGTTATGGGTCATCCGGCCTGTTTCAATGCTCACTTCCACTAGGGTGTCCAGTCTTTCTTGCTGCCAATAGCGCATCCCCACACACATAGCCTTTGTGGCCGCTCCAAAACCTGAGCCTTGAGGTATGAACAAAATCACACGTTGTAGAAAAGGCTGATTAAATGAGCCACACTGTTAGCTGCATCAGTCTTACAGATGAAGGCGTACCTCTCTGATTAAAAGGCGTGTGCCAGGCAAGCAGGAAATTGTGAGGTTTGAGGGAAGCACAGCCTTCGACTGTGCCTGGGTCAGAAATTCGGCCCTTCAGGGACACCATGGCCTCCACGTACAGCTGCACCAACTCTCTGTATAGATCCTCCAGACACCAGTAGTCTTAGCAAAGCAACACATTGCAGGACAGCTAGTTATCTGTGTTGTACACATTTATTGTATGTGACATAAGCACATTTTTCAGTGATAAGGCTCATACAGCTGGCACAAACACAAAGTGGACACTTTCGCTATCTCTCCAGCCACAGACGCATTTTGATGCCCTCATGTGGTATTAGCGTGCTTGGCATTCCAGCCAGCTGAGCAGGAGTGTGTCAGGCTAAGTTTAGCCATGATTAGAAGTGCAGCTCGACTTGTGTGTGTGTGTCTGTGTGTGTGTATTTAGGTGGGATACTTTCCGGATATCAGTGGGCTCTGTGTGGCCCAACAGCACCCACACCCCGAATTCCCTCATATCCCTTAAACAGACAGCTTGGCTCATATATAGCAGAAGCAGGCTTAAGAGTTCCACATTGGGCATGGGTGTGAATCTATAGGGTGGGAAACTATGGATGTGATGATGGGGTTCTAATTATGAGGTGTTGTTAGGGTGCTTATTATTCAGTTAACCTCCTGCACTGCAAAGCGATGGTTTGCCCAAAAGTCAGAAATCTCCCTTTGACCCATAAGTTGGTGATGAGCCCTGCTCAGAGTCCAGTGTTTGTGTCTTTGGACTGTACAATTTAACTGTTTTTATTTTTTGACTTTTATTAAATTAATTGAATGAACAAATGGAAAGTAAAATAAATCATTTAGATCAACAAAAGCACTCAAAAACATTTCAAATCAACGTCTCCCCTGTTCCACTTTTGCAGTGTAGTTTTTCCAATGGAGCTAAGAGACAAGTAATGGAAACCCACTAATTAGCTTTGTACAAACTACAGGCCTTAATCAGAGCATACTCATTTCAAGCTGCACAAAGTTTTTGAATAATCTCAAACAGAACTTGCTTGTGTGCTTTGTGGTTCCTGTACACTGTAAAAATGATTTATCAGTTTAGCCTAACAAAATTACTTCATGTGGCAACAAGCAATCTAACTGATTTTATTCAACTTAAAGAAGTATTTGAATGAAATAAAGCACTGCAAAATAAATAAGATCAACTAAAGTATTTTATTACATCAATTCAGATCTCAGAAACACTTCAACCTCTGCTGTCATAGTGTATGACATAGTGATTTACAAAAATGGGCAAAAGTATGTCACATATCTAAAAACTGTAGTAGCTGCCAGCCTAAATCCTGAATGTATTCAAGAAACCACATAAGCAAGTCTATTTGAGATTACTTAACAGCTTGACATAGTTTAAGGCAAGTGTGTGATGATTTAAGCATACAGTTTGTATGATGCTAACTGGTGGCTAAAAGTTTAAATTACTTGTTATTTACTTCAGTGTTGATGCAATTTTGAACATCTAACGTCTTGGCTGATGGACTATATTTCAGGAAAGGGGAAAATGGTGTATATCTGATTCTTGGCCATACCATATTTGTCTTCATACTTAGTTCAAATAGACCCCAGTCTCTAGTTCCAGCACAAAAGTCTGTGGTTGGTTGGTCCCTGTTGAGGATTAAGGGGAGCCCCATTGACTTCTGTTGGGCTTATTTGTGGCATTTTTATTTTCAGTAGTCAAGAGGCGCTGGAATTCGGATAAGCAGTGTTCAAATCCCAGAGGCTGTCATCGTGCCTTTTAGGAGAACCGCAATAGCCTCTGAACACAGCCCACCAGGGAAGATGATAGCGGTCCAACAACTCTCCCCCATCATTGTCCGACACTGGTGGAAGATCACATTCACTCAGGTTCTATTTTAGGCTCAACTGGCAACTTCAGAGCTTGACTAGAGTTTGGATGTTGCGTGGTATATTGCAGAGATGAGTCAGGATGGGGATTGACATTTGCATTGAGGTTTCAAAGGATTAAAGAATGCCATCAGTGCTGGAGTTATTTATTGTCATGATAGAGATTACCTGGAGTCAGTGGGCAACAGGACGCCAGTGGATGGGACAAGAGGACGACTGGGAATTTGAACCGAGCCCTATTCTAGTATTGTTTGGCACTGAGAGATGACAAGCAGTAAAGTGTTTTGTTGGGTGAAAATGTCATCAACTGTTTATGAAAGAGAATGATCAGATGTCTCTATGAAGACAGATTGCTAAATGGTGTTTTTTTCTTTTTTAGAGAGAGTAACAATAATGAGTGTGTGACTTGGAAAGAGTGTGATGAAAGACATTTCTCCTTCTATATATGGAAGGTCTTTACAGAGCCAGAGAAAATATTGGCTACACAACTTTGAATATGGTTAATGTATTCACTTCCTTCTTATTTTTTCAGAACTAAAAGGGATACGTCCTCATACATGCTTACTAAATCATGTATTTAAAAATACAGAGACCTCCCACATTTATTAAAGGAGCATATGTGCAATTTCCCATTCAAACTTGATGAAACATTAAGGTAAATCATTAAAACTACAGGAGTGTATAGCTAACAGAGTCCCTAATTCATGTATCACCACAGCCAACTCAATAGTGTACAGACAAAGGACAAACAAGTTGGCTCGAATTCTCCATTGGAAATTATTTATAATTAACAGCAGCAGTGGCGCAGAAGAAAAGACTGCATTTGACAACTACATGGTTATTATGTTAGTGCACTTTTCTTGTATGGTGTTGAAAGTACTACTTGTTGCTCTCTTACACAATAAACCACAATCATAAGGATTTATTCTAACATGCTTGATTCAGCATTTTGGCACTGTCGTTTTGAACTTTTTTCCTCCTCACCTGAGTGGGCGTGCCCTTACCTGTGACAAGGGCCTCAGCTGTGATCATATGCATCATTGCCCCGTCACTCCAGGGCCAGTTATCTGGGTCCAGTTTAAGGGCCTCCAGCCCACCAAGAGCAGAGAGCTCCTTCTGGATCTGAGGTCCTGAAAGGCACCACTCCCAGCTGCCGTTGCGATATCCAAGGGCATCTCCGACTGCGCCCAGGATCATTCCAGCCTGGAATTTCTCCATTAGGGGCTTTTTTAATTCCAGAGCATCTAGGGAAACGTCTTCAAGACACAATGACAGCGTACACTCTCCAAAACGTTGTCAGACTCAAGAGGAAAACAGTTTCTTTCAAGTAGATATTTGCCAGGACCTTAAAGAAGACCTTGTGCCTCAAAGCCAGTCTTCTACCTTTTTTGATTCTTTGCTTCAGAAGGGCTCCACTATCTCACCCTCCCAAAGCACTAGACTACAGCTTGACCAAAACCCCCTAAACGCCCCCTCCTCTCTCTCTTCCAAGTCACTCGTCCTAATCGCCACTATTCATTACTCTCACTCCACACATGCACACACCCACAAGCAGAACCTTATCAACAAACCCTCTTTGTGTGGCTGCGATCAGGTGTCTCCTAAAAAGGCAATCCCCATGGCACCATGGCAAGAGCTGAGCCTGTCAGCTGGTCCAGGATCAGCACTAACTCCCCCACACCAGCCCCACACCAGCCCCCCACCCCACCACCCCAAAGGCCTAGGACAAGAATGGAGTATTACCGAAGAGTGAGAGCCCTGACTCTGCTCGGCTCCCGGGAATCATCACACAGTGTACTGGAAGATAGGGGAAATAACACACTCATTTTATAGGCCTCTGCTCTTTCTTCACTGTTGGCCTTTTTTTTAGAACTATCTGTACCCCAAGATCAAGTTCAGATGAAGTATCATAAGTACCTTATACTGCCTTGTTGTAGAACTAGTTATTAAACTTTTAAGGCTGATGCAAAACCATGGCCATTTCTGTCATTGAATCTGCTCTTCCCTGTTAATTGTACTTGGCTTGTTGTGATTGTTTTAGCTGTGCCTTTATTTCTGCAGATTTTTACATCGTTCTCACTTATGTTTCCTATGACATCTGTGTTCTGCCACACCATGCTGTTACTCACCATGTAGTCCAACAAGGCTCAATGCTCCCTCTCTGAAATTGAACAAAGGCTAGGAGTCTTTTTTAAGTATCACACATCAGCAATCTGAGGTTTTGGCATTAAGTCAGTCAGCTAATTCCACTGTTTCTGGTCCTTGATCCGTCAGTACTGAGATGGTTGCTATGAGAAAGTTTGCTCTACAAAATATGTATTTAGACCTGCTGTTAACAGAAAAAGGACTTTACTGACTCTTGGCTGTACATCCATATACTGACTGGTCTTTGCACTGTGACCATTTTTTTTTAAATGAAGCAGTCAAGATGTGACTGAAGTATAGACTTCCAGCTTTAATTCAAGGGGCTTAACAAAAGTATTGCATCAACCATTTAGGAATTACCACCATTTTTTACCCTCCCTCCATTTTCACTGCTCAAAAGTAACTGAACAGTTCACTGAAACTGAAGCAGTTTCTAGGCCAAGGGTGACCTGTACCCTGATTATTTCATGACAAATTAAGGAGATAAAGGTCTACAGTTCATTCCAAGTGTTGAATATGCATTTGGTAGCTGGTAATGGGAACTCTTAATATATGATTCAAAGAGGTCTCGATGCAAGTGAGGGGGGCATCATTAGGCTGAAAAAACTAAACAAACCTATCAGAGAGACGGCAGAAACTTTAAGAGTGGCCAAATCAACGATATGATACATTCTTAAAAAGAAGGAATGCACTGGTGAGCTCAGCAACACCAAAAGGTCTGGAAGACCACAGAAGAAACTAAAGTGGAGATTCACAGAATTCTTTCCATGGTGAAGAAAAACCCCTTCACAACAACTAGTCAAGTCAAAGACAATCTAGAGGAGGTTGGTGTATCGCTGTCAAAGTCTACAATCAAGAGGCGCTTTAATGAATATAAATACAGAGGGTTTACCTCGAGCTGAAACCACTCATGAACAGAAAGGCCTGTACCAGAATGATAGGAAGAGAAGAGCATGGAGGAAGAAAAGAAGGGCTTATGATCGGAAGCATACCACATCATCTATCAAACATGGTGGAGGCAGTGTTGTGGGATGCTTGTGTATGGCTGCCAATGGAACTGGGTCAGTGGTGTTTATTGATGATGTGACTGCTAATAGAAATAGGAAGATGAATTCTGAAGTGTATAGAGCTGTACTTTCTGCTCAGATTCAAATGCTGAGTCAAATGCTGCAAATGGATAATGACCCAAAACATACCAGGAAAGCAACCAAGAGTTTCTTAAGGCAAAGAGATGGAATGTTCTTTAATAGCTGAGTCAGTCACCTGACCTCAACCCAATTGAGCACAGTTGTCACTCACTGAAGACAAAACTGAAGGCAGAAAGACCACAAACAAGCAGCAACTGAAGGCGGCTGCCTAGCAAAGCATGTTAAGGGAAGAAACTCAGCATTTGTGTTTAAAATCATGCTAGTTTGTCCAATTACTTCTGAGCCTGTGAAAATGGGAGGGACTATGTAAAAAATGGCTGTAATTCCTAAATGCAATAGTTAATGCAATATTCTATTTTTGTTAAACCTTGAATTAAAACATAAAATCTTGACTGCTTCATTGATCAAATCCATTGTGGTGGTGTACAGAGGCAAAATGGCAAAAATTGTGTCACTGTCCAAATACCTACAGACTTGACTGTAGTTCAAGTAAAGAAGTTGATGACATCTCCTCTCCATCAGCATGCCCCCCAAAAACTGCTATAGCTATGCTATCTCTTGAAATCCCGTAGCAAATCTTGCCCAGGTATTATCAACGGACGCTGCTTTCTTAAAACAAATGGTGTGGTAGAGTGATGGGCCCCTCAAACCTGCTGGCCATGAAACCACTGTTTTCCCTACCAATCATGACTGAGAAATTATTAAGCACTAGAACATGAGAGGAGTATGGTACCAAGACTATGTGTATTTACATGCATTTAATCTGACAACTGCAGAAAATCAGATTTTGTCAGATTTTGTAACCTGTTCACGTTTACATGTACTTGAGTAATCAGATAACAGGAAAACTCTGTATCTAGATGAGTCAGGCAGTAATCAGATTTATGCTTTGCAACCAGCCAATAAACTGACAGAATAGGATGTGATGTAAACGTAACGTAAAAAATTCACGTCACGCCCAGTGGCTTTTTAAAAAAATATATGAACGTACATCATCTAGAAGATGAAGAATATTTAAGTCCTTCATTTCGTCAGGCATGTAGTTGGTTTCAGCATCGCTCTAAAAGTGTTTTGTTGTCATTTCGCTAGTGCTATGTTAAATGCTGTTTGCTTTGCACATCTGCAGACTGAGAAAAGTGAAAGAAATCAGAGTTAAGAGTATACACACTGAGAAATCCGATTACCGATCTAAAATCCAGCTCACTTTACTGGAAATCAGAGCATGCTGTTTACATGTCCACTTGAATAATCCAAAGACTGTAGATCATCACGCAATTAGTGTAGTTTGGAAAATAGTCCATCGTGAGAGAAAATGGAGGAGATTAAAATATTGAAATACTGTAGTAACAAAAATTAAATGTTAAGTGATTTACACAAAATACCTATAATGTATTTGCAATTACTTTAATTATTCTAATGTATTACTTATATTTTAGGCTTGATAAAAGGAATTCCTACCTCTATGGGCCCTTCATTGTATATTTCCACTTATGGGTTTGTCAAAATCCTTTAAGATTATTGTTCATTTAAATTTCAAAGAGATGGGTCTTCAACAGACATTTGGAGACAGCAAGGAACTCAGCTTTCAATCCACAACTTGGGAGCCAGTGCAGAGAAGAGTTTTAAAGCATGTCTTCCCTGCATCTTCAGGGCTTATGATTCAAGCCTTGTGGCTGTGAATCAAAAACTTGAGGTTCAAAGGGCTCAAGGTATGGTTTTATGGTTTTGTATAATTTTTAGGTTCCTATGCCAAGAGTTACAGGAACAGCAGCTTGGTGGTGCTGGTGGTTCTGGTTTAGATGTTGGGCTGCTGTCCGTGAAGAGGTGTCAGCCCAACATGCGAGTATAAACAACAGGAAAGTATGAACATTTCATCAGCATAGCTGTGGTAGGAGAAGCCAAGAGAAGATGTTACATCAACAAAAGAGTGAGTATAGAGGGGAAAAAGAGAAAACTACCAAGCACTGAGCCTTGTGGGGCACCAATGGAGAGTCTGCATGGAGCGAATGTAAGGTTAAGAGGCTGAGAAGAATCAAGACCGCCCGATCTGCCTGCACGGAGCATCTCAATGGTTGCTATGAGAGGCTTTTCAGTAGAGTGCACTGGTTTGAAGCCAGACAGGTTAGGATCCACAAGCTGGTTTTGAGTGAGAGAGACAACTCATTGTAGACAGAATGATCAAGAATGGCATGAGCTTCTTGTGTATCACCCTGGCAGTAATGAAGGCAGATGGTACATGACCTGACGACAAGGAGCGATGTGTTATAGATCTGATGAAGGGAAACATTCCTATTACTGGTATCAAATATGTAATAATTTGCTGAGTAATGGAAATTTCCAGTGTCTTGTGACACCTTGGAGGTCCCATATAAAGGAAGGGAATTAATAATAATGCAGATTCATTTGGGTGGCTCTGTACTGCAAATCCATGCATTTGGCTCCACTTTTGTTCAACAATCGATCAAAGATCCACTTCAGAATGACTAAAATGCTGACTCCGAAGTGCTAAAGAGTGACTTTTGCCCCTGGAAACCAACGGTTTCACTGTGAACACAATCGTAAAGGCGGAAGGTAGACTACTAGTTCTGAGAGGTGACTCATCACCAGTACATTATACAAAATGGGTGAGAGATGATGCTGCTAGCATACAGCTGATACAAGATCTGTTTCTGTTCGAGAAAATCACAGTTAAAGAAGACTTCATAATTCAAAACCTGCTACTTAACATTCAGAACTTTAGAACTCGCAATTATTTCATTCTTTAACAACTTGTATAGTATATTCTATTATACACTAGATACTAGAAGGTATTTTTAGATGTTTATTTAATATTTCAAGCTTTTGAAAGCTTTCAAAACATATTACTTGACATTTAACTTGACATTTATATTTAATTAATGATTATGGAGTAATTTACTGCACTGTTAAACATTCTAAACATAGATTTCTTCAATTTTCACAGCTACAAATTATCCGAACACTATGAAGTTTAATCATTTTACATATGTGTCTGCAACAAAAATTAGTTTTAGATTTGTATTTTATACCTTCAGACAGTGATGTCAAACTTGAATGTCAAACTATGAATTGTGAATATTATATGGCAAAGCGTGAGATGGGAAATCAGTGCTAAGGCTTTGGTTGTATGACAAAATCTAGTCTACTTTGTCATCTTTTTTTAAAAACATGCTTTATTGAACACCTTCCTTACTCCACAATCAAACAAATGGGTTCAGATTTGATAATGGAGATAACAGCTTTTTTTCTTCTTTAAATAATCTTTATTTACATATGCAATAATACTGATTTGATGAGCTCAACCACCCAGGACTCAACAGTCCAAACACTGAACACTCTGCAAGGCGTACCACATGAGGACAACATTATGAGGAGGCTTGCCTCCGTCATGATGGAAGTACATGTCCAACGAACAAAACTGGACAAAAATGGCAATCTGTAACAGTTAAATGAGGAGATCCAGAACACCATAGCACCTTGTCCAGAATTCTACAAAAACAATAAATAAAATCCAAAGAAATACAATATGAGCCTTCTAGTCAACTTACTGTAGTGTGTGCAAGTGTTTGCAGAATAAGAAAAAAAAACCTCTGACATCATTATTGGCTGTAAATAAAATCCACTCTCACAATCTCTATGTTAGTGTTTTAAGCGTCAACTGAAAGTCAAAAGGGAACTATTTCTTAATTAAATGATATTTAGTTTTGTCAGATTTTCACCATTGTTTAAAATGTTACATGACTTGAAAATGTGCATATTTTGCAAGGCAGGTTAGAAATATGATGCTTAAATCAATAATTAAGAAAATTGTGACTTAAATGGAAACCTGACAGCATTCTACTTAAAAGATTTTAAAACAAAGATAAAACCAATGATACATGTTTAAACGTGGAAAAGCACATTGAGGACATCCAAGCTTTCAAGATAGATTATTCCAAATACTTTCTCATCACATTAATAAACATCATGTATTTATGCTCATACGCATTTGTAGCAATATGTCTGTACATATCTCTATTAGATACAGTATTTTACAACTGTAGCAATCTTACTTCTGCTGGTGTTCTGAGCATTGCTGCATGTTGTTTTTCTGACTTGTTTACGAAACTGGATCTTGTCTTTACACATTTCAAATATAAGAAAGTAGGCTTTACACCGCTGGACAACAGACCTGGAAGTTTACGCTTCTTGCAAATTTGTAACAATGCGCAATGACACAGTGGGGGCTGTACATGACATTGCTCAATGAAAAGTGATCTTTAGTTTTTCTTTCTTTTACTTTGCACAGCTCAACACTGTGCATCAATCACAAATAACATGCACAATCTATTATCCTATATTACACCCCTTTATGGGCTCCAGCCTTGGGACTTGACATGCTATTGATTCTTACGTACCACAAGTGTCACCCCTGAACCGCAGTTTGGTGGACAGTGCAGGGCAAGGTCATGACGTCCATAACCACAGTGACCTTGAGGCTAGGGCAACTCAAGATGGATGATAGGGGCTCCTCCAGCTTGATGCCATTGGGGGCTGGTTCACTGTCGCCCTCTGGTGGTGATGTGCTCCAAACAATCTCACTCATTCCTGATAAGGCCTGGTCAGCTCTACATTGTTCAACCCAAGTTTGGTAGCACAGACTTAGAACTTAAAAGTCTCTTGCATTTTTTGTTTGTTTTAAATCTTTTTTACTATCAAAAAAAGTCTGAACAGAGAGATAAGGTGCCACTTCCCTCTCCAAGAGGTAGGTGGTGATTATACGTTTTTGCGCTTGCTCGCTGTGACGATCGGCCGAGCAAATTCCACAAAGTCGTCTATGAGGACCGGCCATGCTCCTGAAGAAAGACAAAAATATAGTTAATATTTCTGCAAGACACCTTGTCATATCTTATATCCATTTTAATGAGAGTACTCCGTCCTCTTCACTTCTTTTATAGAGATTATAGTCAACATTGTGCAACAAAGCTCATCAATTTTCAAGTTCACTTTCCATCAATACTAAAGGATTGCCTCACCTTCCTCATCATAATTTGACATATCATCTGCAATCATGTTTCCAAAGTCTAGAAGGAGATTCCATGTGTCTTTTGGGATGGACCGTTTGTGGTGTTCCTTCAAAGGATAGACACAATAAATAAGAGCAAGTAATGAAGGCTATGGCAGCATGTAATAGATCTAGGCTTATTTCCTTGTATGCAGTATTAAACACATTTGTTTAACTGCCTATTTAGTATTAGGTTGGATATCTATACAGTTTCATATATACAGTATTTATATTTATATACAGTTGGATATTACTGGTAAGGGTAAATGCTTGTAGGTGTCGTTTGTCGTGTAAATCAGTGTTTCCCCAACTCTGGTCCTGGAGGCCCACAACTGTCATGCACATTTTAGTGTTTTCCCTGCTTTAACACAACCACTACAGCTCAGTAAGGGGTTGTTCATGAGCTGATGAGATGAATCAGATGTGCTGGGAGCAAAGGAGTCACTAAAATGTGAACAGCAGTGGGCCTCCAGGACCATGGTTGGGAAACACATTTGTCTATTAAAGAGTTTGTCAGGAGGAGCCATAATACTTTTTTTTACAGAAAAACTCTCCAACTAATTTTTACCCGATTTTTCTCCAAGTTTATCTGAGGTAAATTCCACCCATTAGTTAGGTCTCCCCCTATCACACATGATGCTGCCAAGATAGTTCCTCCAAGTCATTCACCAGCGAACACCTCATCTTATCAAACTGTCGCATAATGCAATGTGGTTGCAGCTCAACTCGCTCAGTTGCACTGGCTAGCATTGAGTGATTGAGGAAGAGTGAGGGCCATCCTACCAAGTATCCTCTCTTAGATTCCCAGCTAAGGGAGGCATCACTAGGGATGGAGCTCACAGTCTCTCTACAATAGGAACAAACTCTTAAGACGGTTGCACCTCTTGGCAGCCAAGCCATAATGCTCCCGACAAAGTCTTTAATGTTCTTTTTGAAAACTTATGTAATTAGTTTATGCAAAAGTTCAAACTGTTTATTTTTTAACCAACTGCACAAATTCAGAATTTTACTATGAGGACCAAAACCAGAAGCAACCAATTAGTCTGAATCGAAGGACACTTACCAACAGAAACCTGTTCCAGAGGTCCAGAAACTTAAACCGGCCCGTCAGCACCAGGTTCCAATAGGCTACAGCCATTTCTAAATCTGAGTAACAGATAGCATTGAGAGATGAAAGTGAAAGGACAAGAGGGAAATACAGGGGAGGAAAAGAGAGAGCGGGCTGGGGTACAGGGAGTGATCCATGTCCAATGGGTCAGACAATGGGCCACTGTGCAGGACCAACGAGGAGGGGTCACTGCAAACTGACAAACAGCACCCTTGTTTGTATGCCAGCATTAACCAGCACAATGCAGAATCCCAAGTCAGGGAATACCCGTCTCAGGGGAAACACGAAATCTGAGACCAGAAACATAGGCTTCTGGCAAACAACTATTACTTACTTATGACCTTTTAATACTGCTTAACTTTATGTAGTTTGTTGTTTACTACACCATATATTCAAAATGATAATTTTGTAACAAAGTTATTGCACAGTCCAGATAAATTAACAGTGCCCTTTATATGCCACCACTGAGATTATGATAAATGTGCTGCTTTTTGCCATTTGTGTGACACTTACCTAAGCCTTTCTGGCCTGGGTTCTTGGCAAAGTTGAAGGTAAACTGGTAAAAGTCCTTGAACTTTCCAGAGTCTTTGAGTTCCTGTTCTAGTCTGGGTAAAATGGCCTTTAGTTTCTCTGGGCTGTCACACCTATGGAGAACAAATACAGTCAAATGTGAACTGTCAGTATTAATGATCATGAAATATTTGAGCAGATCAAACACCCACAGAGTGAGAGGTTCATCAGAGGTTCTTCATGTTTTGAATTAAATTTGAATATCAAATATGTATTGGGAAACACACAGAATCAACTGTTTGTTAACAGAATTTTTTTAAATTTTACTTTTATCAAAAAAAATAATAAAATAAAATAAAAAAAAAACACTGCTGACCCCAGCTCGGACATGCCATCTAGGAATTCCTTCCGGCTGAACTCGCACTGTGTAGCTGCCCGAAACTTCCAGGCCACCACTAGAACACTCATGCTGGCCGGGTCCAGGGTCAGGTCATCACAGAACTGCTGGATCCCATCAATACCAATTTTATTCTCATCCTGAGGGTCTGCGGAAGACAGGTCATTAACATATACAGGAACATATGTATGTTTTATTCAATTACACCTACAAATGTCCCGTAGATGACATGGACACAGACTAAAACCATTCACCGGAAGGAGTGCTCTCTTTGTAACGAAACATAGTTGGTTAGTGTTCTTAGTGTTCAGTTAGTGTACTGACAATATTCGCAATAAGCAAACGGTGACATAATTTATCATGGTGGAGATAAATGTGGTTATATTGTCCAGCCCTAATGTCTACCCATTTACCTTTGTATCTGTTGTACAGCTGTTCCAGCTTCTTGCGGTCCACTGTGGTTTTCATGGATTCTTTATAGTAGAGATCCGGGTTTTGGAAGTAGTTGTCTGTGGCCACCTCTAGTTTCCAGTCATTCTGCGTGAGGCAATAGACAGCCGTCCTCTCCCCGGCTTGGGTGAAGGACATGAACTGGCGGACCTTGTCTTTCTGTGATGACTTCAGCTTATGCTGTGGGGGGGAAATGCACACACAAGACACACAGGTCTGATTAACCAAACTTCTCAGAACATTGCCAAAGTTTTTTGATTCCCATAGCCTAATGAATACAACTGGTCTTCTTATCCTGAGAGCGGGGGCTGAACTCTACAGACCCTAAATCAGAAACTTAAAAAAATATGAGGCCTCAGGTGCTACACAGTATCCAGAGCTGTCAAAGACAAGTATTATGACAAGACATAAGTATAAACTGACAATGACATGTCGCTAGATGGAACAGAAATAAAAAAAGCCTGCTTCTCTTTCCTTATATAACATAAACTATGTCCCTATGAGTAAAAGTAAGACAGAAACACGTATTAACAAGTCTCCAATTAACTGGAAATAGCAGAAATAAAAAACTAAGGGCTGTTTTTCCTTCCATACACAAATGGAGGGTAAAACTGAGCCCTGATTGCAAAACTTAAGGAGTAAAGAATCTTTGCAAGGTAGTGCTGATCCAACAACAAACCAGCAAACAGACTTCAGTACAGCACCCCAGCACAGCTCAGTTAAGCACAGTGCTCAACTTGGAGTCACTTACAGTCTGATGGCATCTATCATTCACCAGACCAGCAATGACCAACAGAAACAAGCTTAATGTGAAAGGTGTTGATCCGTCACCCACTTCGTATTGAAACTCGAAGGTTCGCTGTTGGCTCACAGGCATCCAAAACATCCATATTCATTTTCGAGAAACCTGTCAGGGTCCTGGATGGTCAGGCCGAACGAATTAGGAAAGCCGAGTTAGTCTGACAGCACATACTGCTGGCTTCCTTAATTGAACACAACAAAAAGGAACATGATGTTCGACCCTCGTTTGGGCGGTTGTAAACAAAAATGCAGCCCCAACGCCTCCTCACTGTTAACGGGGTCTGTGAGAGAATTTCTAGCGGTCCGTCCGGACCACCGACCCGCCCGGCTTTGACCTCATCCCCAGCCGCCGTGGACAAACCCTCCACACAAGCCAATTACCAAAAAAGGTGAAAGTGCCGTGTTGAGCAAAGTGTCTGTCAGCTCTCAAAACACCAACAACTGACCTTCCATATTCCCTCATAAATTGCTCCACCGTGACAATGCGACACAGCCGGAGGAAAACTCCCCCAAAACACAACCACCACACGTCTGACCCCCACCCCGGTGCACACAACAGACCCCTCTCCCGCTCGGCACCTCTCCGAGTCCCCGTTCTGTCTTCAAGTTCGGGTTTTTGCCATTCGTGTCTTCACCTACCATTTTATCACCCCGCTGTTGGACCAACTTGATAGGCGACAGCCCCCTCCTGCGCATGCGCGGGACTGCGCAGGTTCTTCCTTGGCGCTGGGACTTGTAGTCGTTTAACGTGACTAGCCCTTACGGTCCGAGAATGACAGCAAAACACTTTGCTTTACAATAATTATTATAGATACTAGATAATAAATAGGTAATTAATGAATATAACTGTTACATAAATGTAACGGACTGTCAAGACAAATTTTTTTACATCTTAAATTAATGTCAATGTTCACAGCGGGCGAGCAAATGGGACGCCTTAAAATTTCAGAAAGTTTAACCTACAAAGGTTACCACATCACACTGTTTCATTTAAAAAACAACAAGGGGACATTTTGTTTTCTTTTTCCTAAATGTACAACAGTGTTAATTATGTTAATTACACTCTTAAAAAGATGGTGTATCAAGGGTTCTTTAGTAAAGGGGATGTTTCTGTTCAGAACTGTGACTTCCACAGAACCTTTTGCATGTTTAAATGGTTCTTTGCATGGTGAAATGGTTCTTCACATTGATGGAGAATGTGTTGTGTACGGTTCTATGTAGAACCTCTTGAAAATGGTTCTGCGTAGCACCAAAAAGGGTTCTGCTGTTGTTACAACACTAGAACAATCACGTACACGACACATTCTCCATCAGTCTGAAGAACCATTTCACCATGCAAAGAACCAATTAAGCATTAAATGGTTATACACAGAACTCAAGTTTCTATATAGAACCAGTCACCTTACTAAAAACCCGTTAATAACCCTCACTTTTAAGATAAGTGAGCTTAACACTCACCGTTTTGTTTGGTCACACTTAGAGACTTTCCTCATCTAAACACCTTAAACCAGCATGAGCTGAATTAAGCGTTCAGGAATATTAAAGACGTTAACGTGAATGAACTACAAACAGGTGCAGACAGTGTAGGCAGCTCGCTCTGGAGATAAAACTACACAACCCACAGTTCACTCCTCTCGGCCAATCGCCTTCATTTGTTTCGGAAGTGAAACAACATTCTGACTTAATTGGCTAACCAGGCTAACTAACTTAGCTAAGCTAATTAAGTCACTGCAACCAGCGCCGATGGCTGTCGTCATCTGCCGACTCGCCGAGTCCTGAATTTGTCAAAAAAAGTCTGAAAACTTGAAATAAAGTTCACGGCGGTTGAATGTTGAGCACGGCTAGCCGTCGCTAGCACGAGTCGACTACTTGTCAGTTCACTGTACAATCACGGGGCTGAAGTTGGCTTCCGAATCGAATCTTCCGTTCCACCTTAAATGGGGCAGCAGTTACGCTCTTGGCTGTAGCTCCTGTACAGGCGCCAGACGGTAACCGCTGCCCTGTTAAGGTGGAACGGCAGATTCGATTAAGAAGCTAACTTCAGTTGTGTAAACACAGCGGCAGGTCGGCTCGGCTCGTCTGTATCTCCTCTGATTAACGTCCTAGCAATGCTCAAGTCTAGTCAGTCAGCCCGGGACAGTCGAAAACCGACTCGGCGCGGAGTTAATGTTGGTAAACCGTCGACTTACCTGTGTGAGTGGACAAACTGAAGCTCAGCTCTCCGTCAACACAGCGCCTGCCCCTCTCTCCTCGCTCTCCCCCTCACAGCGCCGCTGCTATAACGTTAGTATGTGGCTTGTGTTGAGGGGCCGGCGGTACAAGGACCCGTTTGTTCGCTTCATTTTCTGAGGAGCACAGGGCTGCGCAGACAGACCACTCACTCACACTTCTTCAAGGTAGCTATGTCGTCTGTTCTCATTCTCGTCGCCATTTCTTCTTGCCTGACTCACGCCAGTGGTGCCGGTTAGGTTCGTGTCCGTGCGATCTGATAAGCAGTGTTCGTGTCTGGCAATTCATTCATTTTGACTGCCTCATGTTTGGACTGCTTGTAAAAGCTGGAGCAAATGTCTCGAACCTGTGGGGCGGTTGGGCGAGAAATAAGACCTACGTGTCTTATTCAGTGAGGATGAGGATGAGGATGCTGTAATCGGGGCTCTTAACGTGTCCACAGTTTATTAAGAGAGATTTTGCATTTTGTTTATAAGCTTCTTTTTCTTGCTGAGGCACCAGGGTCTGTATTCCCAAACCGCCTCAGGAGCAGGAGAGCTGATGTAGAGTCAGCTTTTGGGACAGTTTCCATCATAAATATGAGGAGTCTGTTCTGAGATCAGCTCTCAGGGCTTGATTTGAGGAGTGATGCTGTCCTCGCATTAAAAAAGCTGCCATACAGTTTTGAATCCTCTTTGGATTAAAGGGGGACTTCCACCGATTGTTCAAAGTTTCTACATAATTCAACAATTAAAATGTAAAGAATGTCATTCAGGGTCGTTTGATTTGAAATGATCCTCTCTAGAGAAGCTTAGAGAGTCAGAATTGTTCATATAGTGGTATTAGAAACCAGATGTCTGAAGAGTTTAATGCCTAAAAGCTCACTCACAGAAAGTTATTACATATGCTTATGGATATGTTGCCTGATGCCTGAGACATTGTGCTATAGTTTTCAGTCAATATTTTAGCCAAAAACATATTTTTTTAATGCAATAATGGCACAGAGATACATGCAGGGCGCTGCAAGGCAGAATAGTACTCAAAGAAAACTTATGTTGTCACTTATTTACCACTGTTTACCGTTATCAACATTACATATAAAGGTAATAAAAACCCAGTTGGTAAGTTTCTCTGCAAGGCACTGTTTCACATCAAACCACTCTGAATGACTTGCATCTCAACAATGTTTTATATCATTATATCACTTTAGTTTTGTGTCATACATATTTCAATTCTATCCATATGTTGAACATAGTTATCTTCACTTTGCCTAGGTTGAGTCATGTGTTGTGTGACAGGTGTGGCAGGTGCCTTTAGTGTTTGTTTGACCGACCCGGATACCTGAGCCCCACCTGTGTCAGCTCAGCTTACCAAACCTGTGTTGTCACAAGCTAGTCTTGTTACACAGTTTCTGCAGTGTTGTTGTCTTCATTTTATCCCTCATCTTCTTTTTCTTTTTACTCTCTCACCTCTTTCTTCTCACTAATAGGGATGAGCCATTAACCAATTTCTGGGCCAATAACAATAGCCTATAATTTACACTGTGTCCTGGCTGATACAGTTACTAATAACTGATGATTGAACCTTAAACTCATAACATCCAAAATTGTTACATATTGAGGTACAGAATTTTGAAATGAAACTCTTCAAATATTATTATTAATAGGAATAAAATCACACATACTCAGTATAGAGATTGTTTGGTTGATTATTACAATGACATTTTTTCTATTTGCTAAATCTATAATAATGATAGATATTATTAATTAGGAAGAAAAAGGAGGGCGTATTATTAACTGTTCTGACGTTAATCAATAAAAGGTCATAATACAGTAAAGAGGTGTTGTAAATGATTCCGGCTGGGTTAGTGCTTGTTTCTTCTTGTCACTACTGACTATAACTGAACAAAACAGCAATCTTCATGGTTTGAGTTCTAACTGTTATTGATCGCTATGTAATGATCAGCAGCTCTTGTGCATCTTAGCTTTGTTCTTTTTTCGACAACAATTTTGTGAAGGTCTTCTTGCATAACTTCTAAAAGCGGATAGGACATGTCCCCCCGTCCCTCCCTGTATCGATACCAGTGGCTCAGTACATGTATCTGTCGCAGATACATCATGCTACCCTTGTTCACCGACTCTCTCTCCCCTTCTCCTCTAGGTGAAGCGTCAGCTGAATGCGGGCCCTGTGTGCGCTGCTGTGCCTCAGCCTGGCGGGGGCGCTGCAGCCCGGCGACCAGGTGGCCCAGCATGTCATCAAGCTGCACCGCGGCCGGGGGGCAGCTGCTGCCCATGGCCACCAATGGGTGGCGGAGAACTGCCGCCGCCTCTCGGGCCTCCTGCGACAGAAGAGCGCTGCTGTGAGGAAGCTGGAGGCAGCAGCAGTGGCAGTGAGGCGGGACATGTCACTGTCGGATGCTGAGAGGCTTTTCCAGGTGCACACGCTGGAGGTGTTCCAGAAGGAGCTGAATGAGAGTGAGCGGTCCGTGTTCCAGGCCGTACTGGGCCTTCAGCGGGTGCTGAAAGGTGATTTCAGGGACGTGGTGAACATGAAGGAAAGCAGCCGTCAGAGACTGGAAGCGCTCAGAGAGGCTGCCATCAAGGTGAGGTCAGAAAGTTGCAAAAATGTAGCTGAGATGGTGCAGGAGTTAGTTTGACTATATGACTATATGAACATTCTGAACTATATGTTCAGAATGACTCGGTGTAGGCTTTGTTCCTTAACTCCTTCCTGACCCTGACATCACACTAAAGACATTTTTTTCCACTGGGCAGCGCGTTACGGCACGGTACGGTTACTAATCCGTACTCTGAGTACCTGTGCCCCCTTTTTACAACAGAACCATAAGAGTAAAGCGGGGTTTTTTGCAATGCTGGCTTTAAAAGTTAAAACAAAAAACAGTAGCAACTTTGGAGGAGCATCAAGATCTGATTTAGTTTATACTTTGCATTCAGAAGCATTATGGTGGCTGACTGACTCGAGTGATGACATGTAACGTTTGACTTGTCATTGTAAGAGTCAAGAGCATGTGAGTGATGCGCAGTAGGAGCGGAGTGACGTGATTTTTGCTCTGGTTTTCAGAAAGTCGGAGCGCCAGTGTTCACTCTCACTCTGAAACCGCTCCAGTATTGCTCCATCCCACGAGCCAGACAGTCCCTTTTTACATGATGGCCATTCACACACAGCATCTGCACTGCGGAGCTGTTCAGCACACTTATATACAGGATGTTTTATACTGCAAATTTTACCAATTGCAAAAAGTTCTACACACATTACACACAGTCAGTGTCACGTCATCCATTTTGCTGTATTAATGATGAAGATGGTGTTAAAAGCTTGCGTATTTGTTCACCCTCATCGATTTTCTAGCTTGTGATTGGGTCATCTTTTTAAGATCTTTCGAAAGTCTGTGTAACGCAGAATATGTTTAGTCTTTTGTTTAATAATAGCCATAAATTATGTAATTTGTGAAATAAAGTGTGTAGTGATTTGTCCATGCTTTCAAGACATAAATATAAGAACAGATCATGTGGAGCAGACACAGTGTGCTTTCTCTGACGTGTGAGTGAGAAGCCAGCGAGGAGCGTAAAATAGAATACCTGGTGTGGAGCTTGAGCAGAGTTATTACAGAAACGCTTTGAGCGAGGAGCGGAAATGTCTGCCACTTTACTCACGTGGTCTGCTAGGGATGTTAACGATAAACTGCAAAATGACAAATATATAAATGTTTGACTATTTCTTTTATTTAAAAAGTTAATTTAATTTCAGGTAAGTAATATAGACATTTGAACAGGCCTGCTTTTCATTCAACGTGAGTTTTTGAATTGTATGCATGACCATCTTAGATCTGTTGGGAGTTCATTTTTGTCAGCAGGGAATAAAAGGATACTTATCAACTAGGATATTTATCCACATGAGACAGTGCTAAGTTAGACTAGAATTGGCTTTGCTTTTTTTAAACGTCATAGCTTCTGTTGAGTGTAGCGGTATATAGCAGTTAGCCTGTGTAGTTAGTCTTAGGCCAAAAAAGCTTGAAAGCTGAGAGCTACAGTCTGTTTTTCAAACTATGCATGTGAACTTCAAGCTAGCATCAGGCAAGTCATATATGTTTGCTAACAATATGTGGTAAACGTATTTAAGTAGACTGGATTATGTTACTGTAGGCTGTTTTTTTATATATATATATATATATATATATATATATATATATATATATATATATATATTCACTAAAGCCTAAAGCCTTATTTTGCGTTTTCATGGGTTGTGTCCGTGATTTTATCCCTAGTCTCATCCCTTCGAAGACAAGCTGGTTGACTCGCATCGTAAAGGGGAAAAGAGTAAACAAAAGTAAAATGCAAGCAGCGCATGTTTTTATGTGGGGAAAGTTGTGATGGTACATGGTTGTGATGTCACATCCATGAATGCAATGCAAGTTTAGCCCTGCCCGTTCATAATCACATTGTAGTGATAAGGGATGTTATTACTATCTGTATCAGAATTATTGGAGTGGAAAACATGGGGAAACAGTTAAGCAAACAAATCATTGCAGCCTTCCAAACAATCCAGACATTGGCAAGGAGTGATTGAAGTTCTGTACATTTCAGCTTTGGCTACACAATACAGGGCATCAGTACATACAGGTGCATTTACACATACCAGTCTTAAAGCCACAGTAACAGAAACAGACTGTTGATTCTAGAGAGATTGGGAAATGGTCTGGTAAAAATGAATTATGACTGTAATTTATTCCTTAGAGTTATTTTGGAAGCCTTCTATTCTGTTGGAAGTGATCGATGGCTTTTAGGTAGTGGCCCTTGAGTTAGACATGAGCACAAAGTGACTGTAATTGGCAGGCAAGGCTGATATACTGTTGTTTCCCTGGTAACAGCGCTTTTCTGGTTTTTTGCTGAAGTGCTGGAGGTTTTTTCGCTGAGAGAAGGGCTCTTATCTCTTTTACTGAAGGCCAGCACCCGAGGTGACTGGAGACAGCATTACTCGGCATTAGGCACTGCTATCTGTGATTGCCAGACACAAGTAGAGTGTGTCTTTGAGTGACCGGTCCCTGCATTGTGAGAAAATGACAGAGTTGTTTGCTTTAGTGGACAAAGCCGGATGTTTTGTAGAGGTTAGCACGCGAGTCATTTTTAATCTGGATAGTATTCTGAACTATGCAGAATGTAGTTTTAAATGATGTGTAACTTTTTCTCTAAAACGTTTTCCTCAAACCCACAACCCTGTTAACTCTACATGATTTCAGGGCTTGATAGCTAACTAGTGATGGTCATAATGAAGACAGCGAAAACTTGAAATGCTTCAAAACGTTAGCAACACTGCCGTGTAGAAACAGTGCTTAGAGGTGCATATAGGTGGCCAAGTCACACAAGTTCAACAAACGAGGCTTCTTTACATTATGCAGTTTCAAAAATACATTTTAAATGTTTGGAAATTTTGGTGGTTCGCCACTAGGGGACCCATTTCAAATGTACAGAAGCTCCCAATTTGAAAGTAGTTGTCATAACTTCACAAAGCTGTCCTAAGATTTATGCTGCAAAAGCGATCAAATGAAAAAGCTGCCCAGCAGCTTGTTTCCATTGCACTGACTTTTAGCAATAAAAATGCTTTAAGTAATGACGTCATTTCCAGCTAGAAACTGTTTATTGATTAAAAAAAAAGAAGTGCTGTACCAAAGATCGTGTTTCTCTGCCATATAGAGCTGTTTGAGCAATTTTCTCTCTCTGTATTTCTTTTAAAAATGCTCTTTTGTCCTTAGTCCAGCTATACTTGTCCACCATGCTGTTTGTGTTTGTTTGTTTTTGGTGTAAGAGGCATGTGAGGGAACTCTGTCACATGACACTACAGTTAAACGCAAAAAAGTTTTGTTGACATTCATCAAATATTACTGGCAGTTTACACTTCCATAGTCTACATCAACAAACTTTCCGAACCATAAAACGCTTTCTGTAAAAATCCTTTGAAAGGAAACACAGCTGCTAGTGTCTCAAGGTTTTTCTGTAAAATTGAGTGCTAAGACAAGAATTGAGAATTTAGACGAACTATGATATATTTCTATATAAACATTGAATAGATAAAAAAGAAAAAAAGTGAAAATATTTGCTGAATTTAACATATTGGAAAAATAAAACATAAAATGTGGCAAAAGTAATGGTACATTTAATGTTCTGATTTTTCTGATATTTTAAATTCAAAAAACAAATGGTGAATTTGCTCTGAAATTTGTTTAAAAAATTCCATAAATAAGTGTGTTCTCTGTAGAGAATATGGTAACTTATTTTCACTATATCAACAATACATGTAGTTTAACCAGGGTATCCAAACTTTTGCATAAGACTGTATAATGAACATCATTAAAATACAACCATATAAAGGGGCACTTATATATGAAGGCCTACAGGTTCATGACAAAATAAGGCTTGTTTATTTCAAGATATTGCAGACTGCTGTTAAATGAAAATGTATGCAAGTAACTTCCAAATTGTTGGATTTATGTGTCTTTGTTTCGGTTTTTATGCATGTAAACAGCTCAAAGCTAACTACCATGTCCAACTGGTTTGCACTGTTAAAAATGATTGGCTAGACTTCTTCTCCCTCCCTGTCTAGTGTGTAAGTTGCATATCGCCACCTAGTGCCCAGGACAAGTAGGTGTATTTGTTCAAAGTTCAAGCTTGCTAATACCGGATTGCGGAACTGAACGGCATAATTATTTTAATCAACAATAGTTCAAACGCACATTATCAACATATGTTTCGGTAATTGTCGTTGTTGTTTTATCACACAGGCCAAGGTTGAGTCATAGCTTATTCTGATATGGAGCGAATGTTTATCCCCTGATAGGAGGAGAAGGAGTACGTGGAGCTGGTTGCGGCTGAGAAACACCAGCAGGAGGCTCTGAAGGTGGTGCAAGACCGCAACAAGACCCTCTCAATGCTGGACGAGATTCTGGAGGACGTAAGGAAGGCCGCTGACCGCCTGGAGGAGGAGATTGAAGACCACGTCTTTGACAACAACAAACAGGTCAGACATCAGAGTGTGTTTGGAGGGACCCGACATGAACCATTAGCTTTGCGAAAGGATTTATTTTAGAGCTAAGCTTTATAATATCACGTCCTGATTGAACCATGATGCTGAAATTGCAACATATGATCATTTGTATGGTCTTCAATTAGTGGATTGGTGAATCTGTTGGAACTGTTATGTCTTCTGGAATTTCTTCTTACTTTGCGCTTGTCACAGCAACTGACATCATTCAAAGTTCTGTCTGTGTGGCAGGTGATTTCTTCTTTTATCGTGCAATGCAGTATCATCTCTTGTGCTTATGTAGTGTTTTATCTTTGTCATCTGAACATTAAATAAGAATATAGAGCACTTTTGTTTCTATCATCTTCATCTTCGATACAATCTTCATACTTTACTGTTGTTCTAATGAAGACTAATCCACCTTTTTCTTCCTTTAATTCAGAAAGGTAATTTAGTAAAAGCAAACATGATAAAGGGCCTTGGTTGTAATGGTCAGCAAAGATATTTTGGTTGCGGTGCACTTTGTTTTGGTTCACATTTCAGTTGTGCACCTAATAATATGATAACCGCAGAAAATCAGATTTTGTCAGTAATCCGATCAACACATTTACATGCACTTGGGTAATCAGATAATGGGAAAACTCCAGGTCTACATGAGTCAGGCAGTAATCAGATTTCTGCTTTGCACCCAGCCTTGATGCTAACAGGTCTGACTTATGCAACATGTTTGACAGTTTGCTAGATAGATGTAAAACATGAATTTAATAAGTATGTTGACACCACATCATAATCCTCGCCTGTTTTAGTATATTGGACCGTGATAGGTTCAAGTTTATTTGTGACATAGAAAAATAAACTGATGCGTAGTGCACAAATCGTTTTTTACAAAAGTCCTAAGACAGCTTTTGTTTTCGATGTCAAAAGTGTGAACTTTGCGCTGTAGTAACACATTTAACCAAACGAATACCAATCTGTATGATCATAATATGCTTTCCATAAGGAGTTTACCATTTAAAAACACATTTTTGAGTGCAGTGGATTTTTACGTATTGAATTAATCTGCTCTTCCTAAGGATTATAGTTAAAGCTTCTGTCAACATGGTTTAAACATTAAAAATTTTATTTTAATAGTAACGATATGCTACGGAAAAGGCTTTTACTAGTGTTATATTCAAGAAATAAATATGAATAAATGCAATTAGTAGTAGATAAGTGCTCCAACAATTCAGCCAGTCTGTGAATGGTGAGTAGAAAGCCTAATGCTCATTTCAGAGATCTAATTAACTTTACAGCTAATGTTTGAGAACTCAGCCTTTCATCATATGACGGGTAGATCACAGATATATTGTGTCAGCCACACAGATTATATCTGTTCAGCCACACTATATTATTTAACAGTAATCTATAGCTAGACGACTGCTGGACGATGCTTCTGAAATGGAGGTCACGCAAGCAACCATTATGAATTCGCATGGACATATTTGAGGACATGGTGAAGAAATTTGTCAAGTGCCTAATTGTCTGCCACACCTGTACAGGGTAGGGAAGGGTACAGGGAAGGGAAGCTAATGTAATACCTAGCTAACTCTATAATTTCATTCCTACAGTTAAGCTGGATCATTAGCTATCGCACTCTCATAAATGAAGTTAAATGCTTATGGTAGGATCCAGCAACAGGTGGCCAATGCAAGTAGGAAGCAGCGTCTTGCTACTCTACAAATAACTGTGTAATAAACCTTCATAACAAGCACTGTTAACTAATTTAGAAAAGCTTAAATAACCTACTTGCCCGGAGTTTTGGCTGTGACTCAGAGAAGTGGGAGAATAGTCACTTTATGTGTGGGAGAGAAACGCAAGTAGCTCAACTCAACACCCACCCAACTCAAATTGAACTGAAGAAAATGGCAGAAAAAAAGTAAAAAATGTTTCAACAGGAAAGACCGACAGCATTCTTTTTCTGCCAGTTCATGCTAAAAACCACAAAAATATAGATAATAGTGAAAAGAAAAGGATAATATGAAAGTAGACAGGGGCTTTGAGATATAAGGAAATTATTCAAGACATTTTATTCAATCAACCACTGGACCCTCATTGTTTGTGTCAGTGTCTGCAGTAAAACGCTATACAAATAAAATTTATTTGAATTGAATTCACACTCAAACTTGTCTAGTCAGCAATATGTACTGAATGTAACCTCCTTAGAAAGTTAAAGAAAGACTTTTAACACATTTTCTTTTAAATAAACAGTGAGTGTCATGCCTTCTCATACAGACTGTGTCCTACTTTGTACTACTTTGAGCCTACTTGTTTGACCAGATCTGTGTGTGCACTCAAACAGAACAAATTCACTGGGAAGAACAGGTTGAGTTGCACCTTTTGAAGCTATACTAAAATAACGAGGCCTAATGAAAGGACACACCTTTTAAACGGAAACGACATGGACTCAGATTTCAGCATCCTTAGAGGTAGTCATTTGCCCAAAACTTGTTTGATTACACAAACTTGTCTTTCTAGCTAAAAAAATGTAACACAGTTCAGTACAACTGAATTTCCATGAAGCTTCCTTGTGACCATTGTAAACTCTGATATACAAATGAATTAAATAGGTTAGTATGGCTGCTGATGCCTCATTATGCATATTCAGCTATATTTAAAGCGAGACGTCCTTCATATAATACTATGTATATGTGTTTGAGTAGAACCTCGCTCTTGAGTGCAACATTGAGCTGTTAATTATTTGGTTGGTTTATGTTCCTGGTATTCTTCTAATAACTTCCAATGACTGGTCATTTGAACCAATTATGAAATGTATGTCTATACATGTATATGTTTTTTGGCATCTGTTAAACTTCCACTAAATGCTACTACTTTGAACAGGTTTGTAACAAGACATCTGCCAATTTATTAAGCCAGTTTTATCATAGTTGTTTTTTTATCTCTTCAGAAATATAGTCTCCTACATTCTTTTTTACTATGTTCTCTTCATTAGTTCCTTACATTTCTTTATTGATCTTCCCATCTGTCTTTCTGCAGATGAAGGGGGTTAATGTGGAGGCTGTCCTGAGGGTCGAGGAGGATGAGGAGGACAATAAGAGGAAGAACGTATCGCGGCAAGTGGTCGAGAGTGATCTGGGACTGAGCATGCTCATTGACTCCCAGAACAACCAGTATGTACTGACTAAACCCCGAGACTCAACTATTCCTCGTGCTGACCATCACTTCATCAAGGTCAGTGACCCTCTGAATCCTTAGCCTGACCTTTCGTATGTTAACCATGCAGTGGTTGACCACAGGTTAGAGGTTAGATTAGAAATCTGTAGCCAGTCTAATCGCTCAAAGAAATACTTAGATGAGTCCAAGTGAGCATAATTGGTCTCACTGTCTCTGGGTGGGTATGAGGGTCGTCTCATTACCTCATTGCAAAGCTAAACTGTGCAGCTGTTTCTCAAATTGATTGAGATTACTTATTACTTCTGGCAAGATGCAAGCTCATGACTCATTACTTCTGCTTTGCACTCTAAACCCACTTGTATCAGCTGTATCAAGGAAAGCCTGTTAGTCCTTTTCAGCAGTTTATTTAGAAAGAAATGTCCAGTCACAGTGAACATATCAGTATCCCTTCCTTTTAACAGAACACAGCCAGATAAGCTGATTAAAATGATGAACAGCTGATGCTGTTTAAAAGAGAGAAACTACCCACAAGAAACAGTTCTAACAAAGCTCAAGCCTCAATGTACAATATTTATGAGAAGTGCAACGCTTACAGATCTGTTCCTGAATGAAAATCTAGTTTAGGCTGTTTAGGTGAGGCTGAGTCTCTCTCTACTTCATCATGGAGTCTTTATCTATCAGTTTAATATTAGCGTGTGTTTGCAGTGCTTTCTGCACTCACACTGCACTTCTCACATTCACAATCAAACTCATGCAGTCAGCTGATGCAGTGGGTGTGCATGCACACAAATTACATATAAAGGACATTTATGATTTAAATAAGTACGAGTGAAGCTGGTAACACAATCTTATAAAGTCAGTACCTGTAATGTGATTACTAGAACTTATACTGTAATGCGTTACATACTTTATTACAGAAAAAAGTCATCACACTACTTTAATGCGTAACTTCGTACTCCTTTTCCCCTAACACCGTTGCATTAGTCACAGTCTGAAGAGATTTGGTGGCTGGTTTCGCATGTCACGTACCAGTCTTCCCCCTCCCAGCTTAGTAGCATTATGTGATGGGGGGAGACTGGGTTAAAATTAGTTTCTGTGGAGATGATGTGTGGATTATGTAGGTCTTGGATTTTCACTGTTTTATCCTAACAGATGACTAACACTGTATTAATTATAGATTAATTTGTATATTACATAATTACTGTATGAAACCTGTATTTAAGCAGATTTGGGGGTTATATCGCTCACTGGCAAAGGATTATGACCTGCGTTTTCTCCCACAGGACCTGGTGTCAGTGGTCATGCTCTCTCTGCCCTGTGGCTGGCTGTGCACTTTAATGGGACTGCCTCCTATGTTTGGATACATAGTTTGTGGGGTTCTTCTAGGTCCTTCAGGGCTTAATAGCATTCAGGTAAGAGTCACTTAAATTGTAGGAATCTTTCATAAAATGCAAATGTTTTTGATAATGGATGAAACCTGGTAATAGTGAAATCTTACTACCTGCTTCCAATTATTCACTCTTAGTTGTTAGATGTGGTAGTAAATATAAGTCACATCTATAATTTGGACTTGTGGGTTAGTTTGGGGAAAACATCATGAAAAGGTGATTTTTAATAAATAAAACTAATACCATTTGTTTGCTTAGCTGGGTATTCAGATAACACATCAAATAAGTGAATGTTTTTTATTTTAGATGTGAAGCAGCTCACAGACTTGGCATAACCACAGGTTTTCACTCCAACAAAGCAGGAGGTCACCTGATGAAATGTTTGAAGACTATGACCAACTGATTAAACAGGTGGAGGTGGGCTTCGGCTTGTTTGGAGTGAAAACCTATAGCCACACCGGCCCTTTGCGGATAAGATTGGACTTGCTGGTTTAGAGTGATGCTTTGCATAGTTAATTCATAAAAATATAAAATTTTATTTCTTTGGAATTTGGTAAAATGGGACCAAATGGAAACTGGACACTGTTAAAATGGGACAACATATACTTGGTTGACAGTCATTATACCTTAGGGGGGCACCCTACTATAGCCTAGATGTGGGAAACACAGACTATTTGTTTTTAAATATGTGACAGTGTATCCATTTTGTAGATAACTGTATGTTACACAGCATCAGAAACCATAGAAAAAAATCTATTTTATATTATTTAACAATTCAATGTAGTTTCAGGCAAGTGTGTCAAGATTTAGGCTTGCGGTTTGCGTAGTGTAAAAGCCTCCATTACTTGTTAGCTATATTTGCTTTGTAGCTCTAGTGCAACACTAAAGAACCAAACACATCTTGGCTGGTGGATTTCTTTTGGTATAAGAGGAAAATATAAATGTAAAATTGGTTTCTTGCCAGAACTTTCACTTTAATAACTTTTTAATATTCACTGCATGGGTAATGTACATGTTAAAAAGAGAAAGCTCATTTTGGAGGATATTTTAACATGATATCTCTTTCTCTCTCCCTAGTCCATGGTTCAGGTGGAGACGCTGGGGGAGCTGGGTGTGTTCTTCACTCTTTTTGTGGTTGGCCTTGAGTTCTCTCCTGAACGACTCCACAAGGTAAAGAAAAGCACATTTTGAACTACCTTCTGTCGTTTTCATGATTTGCATACTTACCCGCTTGATCAGAACAGCTTTGGAGTGCTCACTGTTTTGCATTCCTTTCTGAAATTGTTTTCTCCCCAGTATCTCCTCAAGCCAAACAGCCTTGTTTTTTCTTATATGCATTTACTTATTTTCCTGACTGCAATACTGTTCTCTGGGTCCTTCTCAGTCATTCACACTTTCCTAACTGCTCTGTGGAATTTGTTGGAATGCCAGAGTGGGTGTTGACTCCAAAATGGTGAATTAATGAAATGCTTATGTACCCACTTTATTCTGTTTATGAGTGTGGGGCAGTATTTAGATTAGTCATTCAGAGTTGTCTAATATCAAGGCCAATACTATTCGTAGATTGTGCTAAGCTGCAGTATTTACTCCTGTCAGGCCACTGTTGGAACAGAAAAGGCACAAGATTATTCTGCAGCTATATCAGAATGAGTCTGTTATTATAATATAGCATTATATTGTAAACATGACAGTGACATGCAGCATAACTGAATTCGCACAGTCTGACGTGGGATTTTATTTGCAGCATCCCATGCAGTGTGACATGCAGTGAACATATAAGACCACTGTAATTGCACAGTATAAATGCGGAAGGTACACACTAAATCGTGAGAGATGGAGTGTTTTCATGGACTTTTACTTTGTCATATAATTATGAATATGCAACTGCACATTTTAAATAAGTAAAAATGTACAAACATTTACTTTTAAAGGGGGATTTCACCATTTTTTTTTATTTCTCAATAAGTAAATGGTTGAAGTATAAGCAAAGTTATTCAGAATGATTTGATGTGATTCTTGAGAAGCCTACAGAATCAGAATTGTTCACAGTGGTTCACAGTGGTGGTGATAGGAATCTGAGGTCTGAAGGTTGTCTAATGGTTCTAAAAGCTACACCACAAAAAGTTATTATATGAAATAGTTATGAATACACTGCCAGATTACTTTGTTTTATGCTAATTTTGAGGTTTTGGTCTAAAATGCAATTTTTCAGTAATTCATTATTAAACTGTACATGCAAGGGGTTGTAAGGCAAAATAGTCCATTACCATCATTTTACCATCATCAGCATATACACAAAAACTCAGAAGTTATTTTGGATAGTAAATAAAACAGCTATGTTTGTGTTGTAGACATTGAGACCCCTGGTTCCTATCACCACCGCTGTAAAGAAAATCTGATTAAGCTTCTCTACAATGAACCATTTCACATTAAACAACTCTGAATGACTGTTGGAATGACTGAATTATAGAGACATTAGGAAAACTGGTGGAATTCCCCTTTATAGTAATGTAAATCGCTGTCTATGCTTTGTGTTAAAAACCTCTTTGTTTATTATTATGAGTGAACATTCTTTAATACTGTACGAGCCATTCATGCAGAAGTACAGGTACTTCCAAGAGTTTAGAAACTTTTTTCATGCAACTGTACACACAATAAACACAGGAGAAATTCTGTGCTTGTTTTTTGTCTTGTTATGTTGGAGATAAATGTGTTCATTATTCAAAAATCCTCACATTTCATGCACCTAAGCCTCGATGCCCAGTAGACACTGAATATTATATGCTTTCCAGTAAATAAGTAGTAGTACTCAGCAGCGAGCATGTTTCATAATAAAACATAAGGAGGTCATATTTCACCTGACATTCAGCTACAAGGCTATCTGTTTTCAGTGGGTGGTTCATTTTAAAAACACAAGCTAGGTTCAAATGTAATATATCAGTAGTTAATATCTTTGTATGTAAACAAATGATATGATATTGATGAGCCCAGACTCTGCTGTTAAAAAAAGATGCATCAACATGGTTGATTAGCATGAAATAAGATGGTATCATATATTTCCACGTAGGCGACATTGATCATGATGTTCAAGATTCATGAGATCATTTGCTTATTTAAAGACAGGCTTTTGTAAATGGAGTTTACAAAGCAGTTTTGTCTGCTGGGTCTGGAAATTTGCGTAATTGTGATCGGACTACATCCAAAAGCCAAAGAGGTAAAGAAACCTTATGCTGGACAGCTCAGAGCACAAAGAACAATCTGTGGGGCTGTAAAAGTACTGCAGAGGTACTTTTAGATCAGTTACAAAATAGGGCTGCATGATATGGATGAAATACTGGTATTGCGATTATATTGGCGGATTTTACTATTGCAATATTCCTTTCCTCCAGCTTTAGCAAGTCAGTAATGTGACATATTAAAAGATAGGGTACTCTTTTTGGTCCAAAATGATTTACATTTTTTTGGAATATATGAATACCTTGTTTCATCAAAACACCCATCTGGAAATGTGAATGTCAGGGTGCTCTCAGCACACAGTAAAAACATTGTGATAGGTTGGAAAGCTTATTTACAAAGTGCAGCCTTCAGCAATAACACTGTTATAAAGGCCAGTGTCATCATCATTTTGTTGTTGTCCTTTCTGCAGGTCTGGAAAATCTCTGTTCAAGGCTCCAGCTGCCTTAGCCTCCTGATGGTGGGGGCGGGGCTTGTATGGGGACAGATGTTTAGGCTCCACCCCATTCAGACAGTCTTCATTTCCAGCTGCTTGTCACTGTCCAGCACTCCTCTGGTGTCACGATTCCTCTCAGTTGGGAACAGGGGGGACAAGGACGGTAAGTGTTTACATCTTCCATTAAGAAGTGTTTTGAATCCAGATTATAGATTATCCAGAGGTCCCTTTTTTTTTTACTTTTGTTTACTTTTTCCTGTTACATTTTACACTCCCAAACTCTGTACAGGCGCAGAAAACCATTCCATTTACACTTGTGTTAAATGTGGTCAAGATCCGCCTCTGGCCACCTCCGAATGTGGTTTGAGTGATACGAACATGATCCACTCACCAAAAACGTGTCTTAATGCTGGATGGAAGCTGCCTCTGTATATGTGTGTGTGTGTGTGTGTGTGTGTGTGTGTGTGTATGTTATCTGTTAGAAGTCACGGTTTACAATAACAGAAGCATATTGTAATTTTATATGAATTAGTATTTCTCACTTGTAATTAATTGAAACAAGTTCAGATTCTAAACTTTCAGTTGATGCCGTTTGTGTTTGGAAGTAAGAGAATATAGGCATATGCATGAATTTGAGCTACCTAGTCAAATCACCTTTGCCCTGATTTTCTAGGTAAAATATAAGTTGACACATCCTCTATAACGGTGGTCACCAACCCTAGTCCTGAAGATCTACCTTCCTTCAAAGTCTGGTTCCAAATGCAGACTGCCACACCTGCTCTAGCGAATTAACTTCTTCAGAAGTCCTTGACTGGCTGGATCAGATGCCTTAGTGTTACCTGAGGGGAGGGACAGCTTGTTAGATGCAGGTTGGAACCAAACTTGGTGGGAAAGTAGATCTTCAAATACTCAAAGTTGCAGTACAAACTTAATTAAAATAATAGAGCTTAAATCTTCAAGATACCAGTAATAAAAAAAGTGTTAAACATAAGAGTACAAAAAGTCATTAGTGAAATGAACGGTGTATTTACATTTCAAACAGAGATAATAACTGGACTTATAGGTGGAGATGGTTTGATACCATTTTTTCTTTTATTAATTGAAACCTTAAGTATTGGCTTATAACCACTAATGATCCAGTGCTTTTCTTTAAGAACTACTTTATTTCAAAAATCTTAACTGATGCACTTCACGTAAGTATAAAAGTAGACTAAAATGTTCAGACTACTCAAACACTGTTTTTGTGTTTTGTTGACGTATGTGTGTAGGTGAACTGGACTACAGCAGTGTTCTTTTGGGAATGCTGGTAATGCAGGATGTTCAGCTGGGTCTGTTTATTGCCATCATGCCAACCCTCATTCAAGTTGGGAATGGAGACGTGGACAGGTAAATAATACACAAACAAATACCAGCTTCATCCGCACACACATGCATAGGTGATGTATGACATCAGCATAACTGCACAGTTTTCTCCCTTGTTACATCAATGTTCTGTTTGGTGTCAGTATACAGTTGTGCGGAAAAGTAAATTCACCCCATACACATTGTTCCAGAAGTCCTGGTCCTTTTCTAGAAGTTCATTATCACATTTTGGTGTTGTCCTGATGTTCTTTTAGACAGCACAGACTTCCTCTTGTCTCTTTTCAATGGCTGATGCATGTACTTGGACAACAACAATGGCAAGAGCTACCTGCAGATCATGTGGTGACATTTTGGGGTTCTTGGAGACTTTTTATTTAGCGTTTTATGCTCTGCTCTCGGATTAAATTTGCTGAGGCAGCCAGGCCTGGACAAGTTGGCAGTGGTATTAAATCTTCCCCTCTTGTAGATGATCTTCCGGACAGTGAAATGATAGATTTTCAATATTTTGGATATCTCCTTAAACATCTGTCCTAGACACGTAGGCATCTACAACCTTCTTTATGAAGGCCTCAGAGAGCTCTTTTGATCTAGGTATGATGATACTACATACTTCGATAACAAAGAGCACACTAGACCAGATTTCTGAGGTTTAGACAAAATAAGTTCTTCCAAGATAGTCTTCAGCAGGTGCACCTAATTTCAGTTTAATACATTTGAAGTAGTGATACATGTAGGAGTGTGCAACTTACTATTTCTACATAAGAAAATTGCATTTTTGTTTATTTTAATTGTATAAAGGATGGCAAAGATGTTAACCCCTTAAATGGCCAGGGCGCACTGGCAGACCAAAAGTTTCATTACACACTTCTATAACCTAAGACTAGCTCAGTCAGTTTGCATTGATGTCCTTGCAGTTACTGAATAATAAGCATTAATATGTTATAAGACTGGGATTTTAAGGGATTAAATGGCTTTTGTTAAATTTTATCACCTTTATCTATCAACGTTGTTTAAATGACAACCAAATATGTTGAAAAATCTAAACTTTTCATGGGGTGTACGTACTTTCTCACATGCCTGTAACTACTCTTTGTACATAATCGAAACAGTGAGCTTTAGGCAGAAGAGGCATGACTTAATAACATCCTTAATAACATTTTGTTAAATATGTCAGTGTATTATTTATTTATTTATATGACTGTTTCTCAATATTCTGATTGGTTGCCTTTCCCCATAGCTGCATCTGATTGGTTGCTCTGCTCTGTTGCAGTGCACTGATTGGAGGTTTGCGTGCTCTGGTGCTTCTGGCTCAGGTTTTGGTCTCCTTTGCTGTCGTGCTGCTGCTCTGCTGGCTCCTGAGGTCTCATCTGATTGGTCCATTCTACAGAAAGCTACATGCCGAGAGCAAAGGGAACAAAGAGATACTTGTGCTGGGGACCACAGCGTTTGTGTTCTTAATGCTGACAGTGAGTGTTTTTGTAACGTTCTCACAACCAACTCAATGTTTTCACGTCCTAGAGATGGCCAAAGTGGCTATATTGATATGACAGTGACTGAGCTGACTGAATGTGATAGTTTGATGTTGTTTTGAACTGGAGCTGTGTGTAGCTAGCAAATAATCTAAGTCTGTACCTTACCATTTATCATCATGAAAATCACATGACGGTCAATACATACCACAAACCGCAGTGAGTTGTTAATTAGTCTCAAATAGACTTGCTTACGTGGTTTCTGATACTGTATGGCATACTGTTATCTAAAAAAATACAAAATCACAGACAAAATCAGGGTGGCTGCTACTGTTTTTTTGTTGCTATACAACATACAGCTATAAGACAAAACACAATGACCGTGATTATGGATACAGATGAAGCGAGTAACATTGATTATCTCATAACAACAGCGCATGTCAAGGTCTGGGATATATTAGATGGTAAGTTAACAATTGGTTCTTGTAGTCGACGTGATGAATGTGAGAGAAATGGGCAGGCGTGAACACCTGAGTGACAAATCGTTATGGCTAGATGACGGAGTCGGAGTATCGAGTAACAGGACCTTAGAGCAATGAGGTTGCCTGGTCAGATAAGTCCCATTTATTTTCCATCACAATGTCAGGTATGTATGTGTCGTTTACTTGGGGAAGTGATGGCACCAGGGTGCACTGTGGAAAGAAGACAATCCGGTGGAGGGATTGTGATGCTCTTGGCAGTGTTCTGCAAGGAAACCCTGGGTCCAGCATCCAGGAACCAGGAGCACCCCTTGATGGCAGTGCTATTCCCAGTTGGTGGTGGCCTCTTTCAGCTGGTTAATGTGCCTCCAAATTCCCAGATCTCAGTCCAATCGAGCATCTGTGGGATGCTCTGGAACAAGAAGTCCAATCTGTGACGGCTCCACCTTGCAGCTTAGAAGACTTTGAAAAGAATCTGCTGCTAATGTCTTTGTGCGAGACACCACAGGGCACCTTCAAAGGTCTTGTAGAGTCTGAGTTGCTTTGGGGGCATGCAGAGGACCAACAACTTATTAGGCAGGTGGTTATCTTATTTTTTAGGTTGGCCTGTGTAGTTTTGTCCATTTTATAGATAACAATGAGTCATATAGTGTCAGAAACACATAAGCAAGTCTAATTGAGATTACTTAACAACTCACTGTGGTTTGAAGCAAGTGTGCGATGCTTTAGGCATGCAGTTTGAATGACGCTGACCTGTGAACTATTAGCTTCTATTACTTATTAGCTACATTAGTATTAGACTTATATCACCATAACTAATATTCACATTTGTAAAGTTGTCTTGTGAGGCTTGATCTCTGAAGACATAACATGCCTAAACTGTGCAGGTGACAGAATTCCTGCATGTTTCCATGGAGCTCGGCTGTTTCCTTGCTGGAGCCCTCCTCTCCTCACAGGGTCACATGGTCACAGGGGAGATCATGAGTTGTGTCGAGCCAATCAGGGACTTCTTAGCGATTATCTTCTTTGCATCTATTGGTGAGTAGGCTGATAGGCCAAACGACATTTCAGCTTCTGTCTGAGTGGATCTTTATCCCTGCTCACCCCTCAGTTCATTAAGTGATGAGGTCAATCGAATGTGTTACAGCAGAGAAAATGCAACAATAGGGATTGCATGAGGTTGGGAACCACTGCATTTAATAATATCCCTTGTTGCATCAACTTGAAGAAAACCATGAGCACATTCTTAAAGGCAACGTGAATCGGAAATCAGAACACATCTTCCTTTCGCGCTGTGGTGTATTTCTGAATGAAATGTGTTTCTGCTTGATGATAGGTGGAGGGTAGTGGGAGGGGAGGTAAAAAGGTATTTTTTCATCATACGCTGGTTCACAATGATGTAATCAAAAATCAGAAGACATTTTAGAAGCAGGTGAAATTCTTTACATTTGGATGGAAGGTAACAGATACATTTTTAACGTGTTTAATATGAACTAACAAAATAAAAATTATTTTGATTTTAGATTGGCTTTTAGAGAAGTAACTTTGCATGGTTTTGAACCACAGCTGATTTTCTTCTGGTAAAACGTGTTTTATGCCATGGTTGGTAACAGTGTCATAGTGTGATTGGCTGTGAGGAATTCTATTAGTGCCAATATAATTTAAAAAATATTTTTAAGTATCATTCCACTTTATTTACATTTAACTTGTCAGCGATGCAAGCTTATTGAGTGCATAATGAAACATTTTTTATGTGTAATGTAAATAAATAAATAAATAAATAAAACTAAATTGGTCAGTTCCTATCAAATAATAGCCGAAAAAGCTATCTATATCTATCTATAATAAAGCTTTGGTATAACCACAATAATGCATGTTATTCTACTGGGCTTTCACTTGAACTAAATTATCTCGAATTAGCAATTTTGGTGCCACTTGTTACAGAAATTGTGGCTTTGGACTCTCCCAAGTTGAGGTCAGTAAGGGACGTGAGCAGAGGAGTCTGTACTGTTTCTTATGACACTTTAAAGAGATAATTTTAACCTTCGCAAAAGTGATTGCTTTTCTGTATTATTTCTTACAGGGCTCCATGTGTTTCCAACGTTTGTCCTATACGAACTGACTATCCTTCTGGTTCTAACTTTATCACTGGTGATCATGAAGGTAATTACTTGCAGATCTTTAATACAGTCATAGACAAACGTTTGGGTTCAGCTGGACAAATTTCATGTACTTTTGAATATTGAAAATTTTGAAAGTTAACACATCCTCTACAGAGAACACACTTCTGTACATTTTTGTTTATTTGCTGAATTTAATATATGAGAAAAAAATGAAATATAAATGCGACCTGTACAACATTTATGGCACATATAATGTTTGTTTTATTCTGTTCCTCATTCACAGAAATTGTCATAAAAATGTGCAGAAAAACGTCATAATTTAGTCCCCTTGTTAACTTATTTTCTCATTTGAAAGGGGTATTGAATCTTTTGCACATTATTGTAGATATTATTTAATGATAATTCTAACTGCTCCTTTGCACTTTATCTCTTCAAAGATGAGTTCAAAACTGTTTTTCTTCTCTCTCTGCTGTCATTCCACATTCTCCCTCTAAGTTTGTTATGGCAGTGCTGGTGCTGTCTGCCATCCTTCCCCTCGGCTCCCGCCACATCCGCTGGCTGGTATCGGCTGGGTTGGCGCAAGTCAGCGAGTTCTCCTTTGTCCTGGGCAGCCGTGCTCGCCGGGCTGGCATCATCTCCAGAGAGGTGAGCCCCGTGATCTTGCGTCACATTTCTAATGTCTTGTTCAAATTTCAACATTTACAATAAGTAGTTAAACTTAAAGAAGACAATTCAGTTTTCCATGATGTAAGGCCTTTAGGTTTGACATACTGTTAGGCAAGTTTGACATACTGTTATCTATTAAAAAATCTTTATTTTATCTGTACTTTTTACCTATTACTTTAAAGTTAATAATGTCACACAGTATCAGATATACATGAGTAAGTCTACATGACAATACTTGCTTACTGTGCTTCCATTATGAGGCTACGTTAACCCTGTAGCTTCTGTACTAAACCTAGGAAGCCAGTTTTAGACACCAAACATGTACCATTTTAGGTAAGGGTAAAACCTGATATTTTACATTGCCTTAAAGGAATATTTAGGTGAACACATCAAATTAACGATTTATCACTTACCCTAGATGCAGTTGATCAGCCAAGACATTTTTAATATCTGACCTGTACTTCTTTGGTTTACAATGGGAGATACTATACTAACATTGCTAACAAACACTGGACTTTCTGGTCACCAGACTCATCTCCATAAATACATGCTGGAAAATGTCTCTCAGCCTGCTCAAAACACATTCATATCTCTGTTGGTTTTGCACACACGTGTCAATGTGGTTTAGAACATGGAATGTCTTACTTTATTCTACAAAAACAAAAATAAATGTATGCACATCTGCATAAGTGAATTGTGGGATGGCCATTGTGAGTAACTGGAACAGCTTTTGCCACAATACGTGGTGTTATTCCACATAGGATGACCAAATGTGAGGCTACATGAATTCCTAAACACACAAACACAGCGTAAGGTAACTTGGCTGAGAAGCTAAGCAAATGCACTTGAAAAGTGTCTAATTATGATTTTGATTACCACACTTTCAGCACAAATGAGCCTCAACCATTTATGTTTGAACTGAGTAAACACGTAAAGAAAGGCATCAGCTGGATGCCGGACCCACCAGTGATTTGCTGGACATACACGCGACTCCTTGTAAGACAGAAATTTGGTTTACTTGTGGCAAGTGCCAGGTGATGCCAGCCGAGGTGGAGTGTCTCTGCTATGTGGAGTGGGAGCTATGGATGCCAGCACCATAAAGCATTGTGAGGCCTGTTAGCTACATTTGATATGACAGCAGCTGAGTGAGCAGAAAACGGACAGTGAAGATGGAGAAAAAGTAAAAAAACTTGCCTCAAATTCACTTCTCATCCTTAGTAATTTACCTGCAACAGCTGCAGGTATCCCGTTGGCAACCTTTTTTGTAATGCATACCAAGGATTTAGCAAAACTTTGCCAGTAGCCACAGTTTGCATGTTTCTGCATCATTGGGGAATCAGTGGTGATATATCGGACTACACATAGATTTCTTTGTTCTGATTACTGTTTGTACAAAATGGAACACAACGCCTCATTTTCGTAGCTTTATTGTTATTCGAGATGCAACTTCTAGTTAACTGTCACAAACCATGTTGAGTTGCTAAATAATGTCATGTAGACTTACTCATGTATATCTGATACTGTGTGAAATTGTTAACTATAAAAAATGGATAAAAAGTACAGATAAAATAGTTTAACAGTATGTCATACAGTGTCCAAAAAAATATAAGCAAATCTGTTTCTTCTTTTAGATTACTTAAAGACCCTATATAATGGAAAACTGAATACTCTTCACTTTCTTAAAATTAAAAGTTTTGTTGTATTACATAAACAGTGTCAACGTCTCAAAACAAACCACTGATTTCCTGCTTCAATGAAAACTAAGCTGCAAAACAGCCTGTTTTGAATTCAGTGTTTCTTTGATGTCATGAAAACCAACGTACTGTATTTATGTACAATCCCCTTCACAAATATTGGCACCCCTGGTAAACATGAACAAAACAGGCTTTAAAAAGTGTTCTTTATTGTTTATCCTCTTGATCTTTCGTTCAAAATACAGTACAATGACTGGAAAAATACTTAATACTTTATGCAGCTTCCCTTTTGCAAAGATTACAGCTTTGAGTGTTCTACTGTAACAATGAGACTGGGGAACACATGACAAGAGATTTTAGACCATTCCTCCATACAGAACCTCTCCAGATCTTTCCGATTCCGAGGTTCGCAATGTGGACTCCTTCAGCTCACCTCACAGGTTTTCTATGGTGTTTAGGTCAGTGGACTGGGGTGGCCATGGTAGAACCTTGATTCTGTGGTCAGTGAACCATTTTTCTGTTGATTTTGAGGTGTGCTTTGGATCATTGTGTGTCTGGAAGATCCAAATTATGGCCCAGTTTAAGCCTCCTTGCTGAAGCATCAGGTTTTGATTTTATTTCTGCTGGTACTTGATGGAGCCTGTCGTACCAAGTATACAAATAAATTGTCCAGGGCCTTTGGAAGAAAAACAGCCCAACAGTATCACAAATCCACCACCATACTTCACAGAGGGGATGAGGTGCTGTTCTGCATGGCAAACTTTGTCTCCATGCCTAGCTCACCTCTGGTGTTTGTTGCCAAAAACCTCTATTCTGGTCTTATCTGACCATAGAACACAGTCCCATTGAAAGTTCCTGTAATGTTTGGCAAACTGTAGGAGCTTGATTTCTATCGTGACAGCAGAGGCTTTCTTTTAGCACCCCCCAAACAGCCTGTGGTTATATAGGTGGTGTTTGACTGTGGTTTGGGAGACATTCTGACCGCAAGACCTAAGTAATGTCTGCAATTCCCAATCTGTGATCCTTGGTTATTCTTTGTCCACTTGAACCACCTTAACATCTCCAGTTGTTTTAAGCTTCTTAATTATTGATCTGCCAGGGGATGTGGGCATTTTCAACTGTTTGGCTATTTTCTTGTAGCCATTTCCTGATTTGTTCAGCTGAACAACATTTTGTCACACATCATTACTGTTTTCTGTGGTCTTTTTTGTAACAATGGATGAAAATTTGGCCTGTGTTTCATCATATTTCCTAGTGAATCGGGAAGTCATGGCTGACTATTTAAGTGTTCCTAATCGCTCAGTTGAACTTTAAAACATAAAATATGAATGGGAATATACTTTGGTTAGATTTTTTTCAATTCAGTATTTGTGGAGGGCACTGTTTGTCTGCCTATTTCAGCCTGGAAAGCCCACCTTTTTTGACACTGAGGTGTTTCGTGAATGATTCTCAGTACAAGACAGCAAATCAGAACAGAACTGATCTACATATATCCATCTTAAAGACACGATAACAAAAACAACCTGTTTAATTCTAGTGCTGTGTTTACATGTTTATGGTAGATGGACAACTGCAAAACAGCTTATCTATTGTTTTTATTGGAGCAACAATGGAAAATTCAGCCTTTGTCAGCAGGTAGTGGAATATTCTGTCAAGCATTCAGTTTTTTTTTGCAAGATGTCAGAAAAAATGTGAAAACTTGAAATTCAAGTATTGTGATATTACATTTCTGCCATATCGCCCAGCTTTACTTTTAGGATAAAATGGTCCAAATGACTGTTAATTTACACTTTTGAGACCGGACTGAAGTACTACAAGGCCCAGGCCTCAGATGCTCCACTCCCAGGACCACGGAGCATCTGATGTATTTTGCATGTTAACCTGGCCACAGCTGACATTCTGCACACCATAACTAGTGTTTTGGATCAAGATAATAGCTGAGTCACAACATATGGTGAATTTCACATCTAACATCATCCACTAGGTCTTTTTAAATCATTCAGAAGCGAGTAAATAGATGTTGTATTTTTTCTGATTCATACCTCTTCACTTCCCTGTTGTTGTTGTAGTTCTGTTTTAAAAACCTTTACACGTCTCACTGTGGTTGGCTATTTTGCATGTCTCTCAGATGCACCTTTCCTGTTCAAGTAGGCCATGCTAAGCGACAAAACACACCAGTCTCTCTGACAACAAGCAAAAGTCTGTCTTAAAAAACTGTTGTGCTCTGGCCTTTAGTGAGTGTAGTTTAATCATTATTCTTTAAAAAAAAAAAAAAAGTTCAACAAAACATTTCTGTGATCTAACAGTAATCTTATGATGACATACTGTTATCTAAAACTGGACAAAGATTTCTGTGAAGTGATTACATTGTCTTTCCTCTTCAGGTTTATCTGTTGGTTCTCAGTGTCACCACGTTAAGTCTGCTGCTAGCGCCGGTGTTATGGAGAGCTGCCACTCTCAGATACGTTCCTCGGATCGAGAGAAAAACGTCCACCTGACCCGCACTGGATACGAAGGAGATCGCTCTCTTCTCAGCATTGAAACGGCACACTACAAAAGGGCTGAAAGCAAGAAGCCTTTTGGTTTTTGACGCACAGAAAGTGTTTGCACAGAATGTAGTCCTGCTCCTCTGGAATAAGGCAACTCTGATGGTGACCACAGTGACCACAGAGTTTCAAACAGAGCGCACAGAGGAAAGGGAGGATTTTTACAATGCTTTATGAATCGTCACCAATACTGTACAAAGATCTGTATTTACTCCTGTAGATTTACAACCTGTTCTGCTCATATGAGGAAGCACCTAAATGTGCCTTGAAATCAGCTGATGTCAACAGATTTACCAAATAACTTGGCTGAAATCATGCAAAGTGTGTACATTAACATCCGTGATGAATTACATACCTGTTGATTCAGTTTGTCCAGCCTTTGAAATCTTTATTGTTTTTTTTTTTCCATGTGTAGGTGTTTGTATATTCTTGAAGACTGTTATAAAGATCAGCTTAACTGGAAGAACTGGAAGTTAACTTAAAGGAGTTTGGTGGTAACAGCAAATGCATTCCAATCATTTTATGGTGATTATAGTACACATTTAGCTGTGGCAATATTTAATTTTTATTGCTGTCAAATAAATTATTTTTGGAAATCTGAAGTTATTTAATGTATATGGCTGGCAGGCTAATGCTTTCCAGAGTAAGGAACTCATGTTGATGTCCATTATGAAAACAGCCCACCGCATTTTGTTGTCTTTGAGAGCCACAAATGGGTTAAGCAGGTAAATAATTGTTGGGAGATACAATATGTTGTCATGTCATATTAAACGAAATCAATGAAACTGCTGTGTGTTGTGATCTTTGGTTACAAAACTAATATCCATGCTAAGGTGGGAAGTATGTGTGGGCCATGTGACAATGGTTGTGGTAATACATTACGCCACAACATGCTTTTCTGAGCATATTGTGGATATTGTTGGTGTCTGAAGAACAGTGGCCAAATGCATGTTTCAGTAATACAATGAGAGAATTTTTACACTTGTTTTCATAGTGATGTTATATTTTGCCAGTTGTCCACTCTGGGAACAAAGTACTTTAGCTTTGAGAGTGCTTTTTCTTTCATTTAAGATGTTTGGCTATTACGCTCTACATTTGAAAATGAAAAATCTCTGCTTCCTATTCAATAAACTTCAAAATAGATTTGTGACACTGTAAACAACATATTTTTGGAAATTGTTTGGGATTTCTCATCATATACTTTCCGGCAGTTCATTAGAAAATTACACAGAATCCTCAACAATGAAATAAATCCACCTTTGCTTTTATTACAGCTTCCATTCTTTTTTGTGAGAGTTGTGTTCAGTTTTTCAAAGAAACCTGCAGAGGTATTTTCCCACACCTCCAAAGTTCAGTCTTAGAAGTTGGTTCTATTTTCTGCTTCTTATCCACATAATCTCAAACACATATAAAGATGTTGAGGTCTGGACTCTGGCATGGTCAGTCCATTGTGAGCATACCGTATTTTTTTTCTACTTTCTGTCTATTTTCTTTTCTCAATAACAGCTTCTTTATATTTACATGCCCTCTCAGACTCATAGTGCTGACCTGTCTTCTCGCAGTGGAAGGATGGACAGAAACACCTGTGGATTTGTGTAAAGATCTGAATCAAGAGTGGAGCTTGATTTTCTCCTCTCTCTCAAAGATGAAAGCTTTAAGTACTGTTTATCTGACAGGGACAGTTTTGGTCTAGCAGGACTTGCACAGTTGTTAGGAGTTCCGTTCTCTCTGTATCTTCTAATCCAACATCAGACACTTTGACTTTGCCCTTCTTTTGCAAATGGATTATGTTGTTTCTAATGATTAAATGGAACTTATTTATCACCTGATGATAAATGAATATCATTATATGTATCTAACTGCTATTTTAACTGGAACTGAAATAAATGAAGAGTGGTCTTTGATTTTTGCACAGTGCAATTTCTCCATTTCACCCCAATCAGCTGTTCATACACATCCGCACAAATGCAGTGTCTTTACGCTAGAAGAGGAAAAAGACCAGGTCAGAATAAAGAAGTGGGAGGCGTGATTAGTCAGCATCTCTCTTTACTATGAAAGAGTCTCCTGAGCCTGCTGAGACACAGTCTCATTCATTACACATTTGATGAGGCACATTCACAACTGTTACATGTGCAAATTCAGTTCTTGCATGTAAAAAGAAAACTTAATATTCTTACATAAACACTGCATCTGCACACGTAACGGTTCAGGTAGTAGGAAATCAATATAAACGTAATAATTAAAATTTCATGTCAAAATGTATTTCTTGTGAAAATTCCTACAAAATTAACACAAACATTAACAAGATTAAACATGCAGAAATACTATTCCTTTAAGTAAGTTTAAAATTTAATTTTTTTACTACTAATAATATTAAATAATAACAACAGTAAACATTTTACTCGTTTAAACAAAATTTCTGATGTCAAAAAATGTGGATTAAAACGTTAAAAATTAAAAACAGAAGCGCGCCAAAAACAGATGAACGCAAGCTGGGGGAGGGGACTTAAGGTTGACAGCGTGCCGACGTCACGGCGCCTCTGTCCAATCAAAACACGGCAACGTAGGACACCGCCAAGATCAGTTTGATGGCTCTCAACAGTGCAGCGCGTAGCTAGCTAGCCTAGCTCCCCTTATCTGCAAAAACAGCACGAAATTTGGCGTAAACGGCTTCTTTTTAACCTCTCGAGTTTATGATAAGGGCATGAACCGTGGAAACCAGGCTAAGGTAGGCGATACAAACGATGAACCTCTACCAAACCGTGTGTGTTTTGTCTTTAAGCGACTGGCTAGCCCGTCAGCTCTGGAGCAGCTAGCGTTAACCTTTAGTCAGCTGGGATTAAAGCGATTCAGAGGAATGAGTCGTTTATTTGAATCGACTCTTCCCAGTAATGTAAATAAAAAGTGGAGGTGACTTCCAGGTCCAGTTCAGTTGAGCATTTTGCCCTTTTTGTGGTGTGTACAACTCTGTGATAGGTTTAAGGATTATTTTAAAAGTTAGAATAAAAAATTAAGCGCATACAAACACTGCATAAATACCACATTTTAACAGTAAGAACAAGGTTTGTGAGGTCTGGACCTCATAGTGGAGGAGATTAGGACACTGTAGAAAAATGGTATTTTGGCAGATTGTTTTAAATCTTGTCGATATATCTAATCATCTCGAGATTGTTGCATTATGATTAAGTTATTTCTATACATTTAGGTGGTTTTAGTAAGTCAGATTATCTCACTATATTGCCAAATAATTTTACCTGTAAGAAATATGCTTGAAACAAGCCAAATTATCTGCAAATATAGTGAGATAATTCGGTCCACTGAATCATCTAAAACAAGCAAAAATTGTCTGGAAATAACTTTAAAATTCTCATAATGAGGTAACAACAATCGCACGATGAGAAGTATGTATTGACTAGGTTTATAGATATATTGACTGTGTTTAAGTTAATTTCACTTGCCAAGATAGTATTTTTTGCGGTGGAGGAGCTGAACTGGTTTAGGAATGAGTGAATCGTCGAGTAGGTGGTTCGATTCCTTGAAACGGACGTCTGGAGAGAATCGATTCGGTAGAGTGATTCGAACTTCCCATCACTATCTGCTAGCTTACGTTAGCCTAACTCGAGCTACGACTGTTAAAGCATTCAACTAACTAGCCACTCGGCTATTCCCTGCGGTCTCAGATAGCCTGCTAGCATTTGCGACCGCTGAAGGACGAGCTTCATTCCCCCAGATAGTTGATAGTTCAGTTTACGTTACAGAGCTTCGTCCAAACTAACATTAGACACGAAAAGTGGTTGTTTACTAGTTGGAGCTCGGTGAGGGATCCTGGCTGTAATAAAGATTGCTGTTCTGCGCTCAGCTAAGCTTGCTGTAAAATGACCGGTGAAGCTGTACAATAACGCTGTAATATAGCTAAGCAAGCGAACAGTTTGCTGCTTGAGATTCTTTTAACTGGCACCAAAAGTCTTATAAAACTATTGGCACCCTTAATCAAACTCCCCCCCAGTTTGAATTCCCGTTTCGTGAAACACTGCAGCTCTGAAAAATGAGATGGAGCATGACATTATAGGTCAAGCATGTAGTTAGCTAACCAAAACCACTTGTTTTGGCTCGTGAATGAGGCCCTTGGTCATCTCCTCAGCGTAAAGGGTTAAAGTAAAGTGTGCTTTTATTATGTTTAGAGTTTTTGTATGGCTTATATTTCCTGTTTGGAGTCCAGATTTAGGCTCCTCTTCCTTCCACTTACTGCAACGTCCTGACATGTTCAGAGTTTTTATGCTTTCCTTCCTAAGAAAAATTACATTTCCCTCCCCTGTGCTTTAATATAGAACAGCGTGGCTTGTTGCTGCACTAATAAAGGGTTTGAATATCACACACATTCACATTCAGCCTTGTTTGCACTAGGGAGGAGTAGAGAGATAGTAAGTAACAGCTCGGAAATGTGGGTCACTCTCCTCTGTCAGATACAGCTGGAACAGTCAGCATTTCCGAGGCCACTCAAAGGAAAAAAAAGCTGAGAACGAGTCTGTAAGCACCCACTGGTGGTGGCAAAGTGTGCTCTTTTAGTTCTTCTTTCTTGTCCTAAGTTTCATTTCGTAGAGCATGAAGGTTAAAGGGCCCATGACTTAGCAAACCAAAATTTTCTCCCTTTTTTAAACTAAGAGTTAACAGCCCATTTGGAATTGATGTCACATTTATGTCTGTCCGTCATTTTATTCTACAGCAGTTTAGCCACGACCATTCATGTCGGAGTTATAAAGAGTGTTTCAGCATGGACTGCTTTTCAGATGAGGCGCAATACATGACAGCCAGTTAGAACAGAGGTCAGTTACATCAGTCCGTCCTAAGGCACAGTCCTAAAACCAGCCTTTTTTAAATTGCCCATGTCCTACTTTTTTTTTCTCCGACTTATAGCATTTGTGTCCGTCATAATTCATTTGTAAACAACCTTCGTTCACCCCTAGAATTAAACAGGCTGTTTTTGTCTCTGCCTTTAAAACTGATGTAAGATGAATGAGCTCTTGTCTGATTGGCTGACTTGTACTTTGCCTGATTCAGAAAGCACTCAAAGGTGATACACTGCTTAGAACTTCAATGTGAATAGACATAGCTTATCTACTGTAGACTGAATTGGTGGATATGTGTCAGTGTGTTGATTCTTGTGACGTCACAGAGAATTTCCATTTATGGGCTGGGAAGTGAATGGTATGTTTTGAAACTTTGACAGTTTTTACTGTTTTATTTAGGGAAAATAAAAGTGTAAAATTTGATTTTCCATGATATGACGCGTTTAATTCTGGTTCAAGAGAGGATTGAAAATGGTTATATAAAATTCTGGGATGCCTGATTCCATACCAATATTTGTTGACATATTTATTGTACTCAGATAGACGTTAGCAGTTAGCTGTACATAAAAAAAAAAAAAAATAAAAATATTGTGCATCTCTACAGTTTTTGGTGCGTAAACCCACACCAACATTATGTGGACTCGAGAAAAGATTGAATACATGGAAAAGTAGGATATGGGACA